TCAGGCGATGATAGCGACAGTGATACTGGTATATTATGTGAATAATTTTAAGTAATTTAAGTACGTAATAAAAACAATTTGTAATTTTATTTTAGATTTAAACATAAATACATACATAAATAAATAAATATTGTTTAGTATCTTTCCTAACAAAAACCCCAAATAATTAAATTATAAGCAAAGTACGGACCTGTTCGGCCATATTTCATTCTTTCAGCTTGCTTGGGTCTTTCCTTAATTCGTATCAGTTAGTCACTTTCTTATATCTATGAACAGACTTGACGACTTTAACTTGGCACGTACAGTGGAGCGAGGGTGACTATTTTGGTTATAGTTTTTCCTAACATCTACCTATGGTCTACCTATTTAACATGGTAGTCCTGTTTAATTTAGTCTCCAGAAAGTTTCTCATACTTATCATAGGGTATTAAGCAGTACCACCAACGCTAGAAGAAGAAAAATTTGTGTATATCATGGTAGTCTAACAAATTGAATTGAAGTTTTGAATTTTATCCACCACACTCATGGTCTCTGACCACTATTGCAATATCATCAACGACTAACCAAAACTACGTCGCATTCCAGCTTTTCTATAAGCTCCAGGCGCTGAAAGAGTTCCAGTTTGTATTGCTTTTTCCTTACTTTTAAAATTACTGTTGTGGAATATTCATTTAATTTATAAATATGTCAGCGGTAGCTTCCTTGCTCCAATAGCTTAAATTTATCTAGTAGTTTCTGACGACTCATCAAAATTTAACCTCGCCAACCGCTGCATAGTCACATCTTTCTCAGTATTTTTTGAAATTCATATGGATTTTTGTTAATTAGTTTATATTGGTTCAATTACTTTACTAATCGATGATTTAGGAATATCTTAAATACTTTCGATGCTAAACTTATTAATGAAATTGTAATATGGCTTTAGCGGTTGGTGTACAAAATTCAAGTTAATGTCTAACATATCAGTAGTATCTTCTGCAGGAGGTGAATTAATTTGTTGATTTTGTTACTGAAATAAAAAAAAGAGAAAAGTCACACAACAAAGTTACTGTTCCACACGTTCTTGTTAATCTCCGGGTAAATATCATTACCCATCCGAACAAAAAAAACTTTTGCATGTCAACTATTATCTTGTCACTTAATCTAATTCGTTGTTTATTACAACTGATTTACATTTGCCATTATTGATTATACTATTAATAACTGGAAAAAAATATTTTGCCGAATTTTTGGTCCGGAAATATCAGGTGCCCTTTCTATTTTTTTATTCGAATGATTGAAAAACAGTGAGTACTATTTAGTAACACCTTTGGATGCAGCGGCAATTTGAGGTTTAGAAACTTGAAGAACTAACAGTGTCCCCCCACCCCCCTGTGAAATCTTTGTTTATGGTTCGATTTTGATTTTTTCTTGTTGGATAGATCCCTCAGAAACGCACTAAACACTTATGTTTCTTTTTACAGCAACCTAAAGTCATGGCCAACTGGGAGTAATTTTTGATATCCAATATCGAGAAGGGCCATTAGAGATTTCTTTTTTCGTATAGCATCGATTAAAAAACTAATTGCCACAATTTTTTGAAGCGGAAAAGTACTTTTAGAGATTTTTTCAAATTGAACATTCAGGACTACGTAAAAATAACTAGACCAATGACCAAAGTTTTAATGTTTTAGAAAAATAAGTATTTTAAACCTTGTAAATAACGATTATTTTGTTTGTGCTGTTACGATCTTACAAATAGTTTATACAAATTTCAAAAATAATTATAAAAAAGACGTCTTAAGGGACATTTATTTTTTAGTATTACCTTAAAGCAATAACATTAGTAAATCTTAATATTCGAAAGGTATGATGTAAACAAAATTAAAATATAAATTAGCGAGTGAATTTGACAGTCGAATATTCGCTTCTCCATGGCAAACTTTTTTCCAAAGGAAACGTTATACCGAAGTCAAAAAATTGTGGTACTTCTGTTATTTTCATTAATAGATGAGAATTAAAAATCCTTCTAAATTAAAAAAATACAGCGTTGTAAAGTAATTCTCTCTATACTTAATCTAAAGAAAATCGTTAGTGTCTGTCACTGGAATTTATCCAACAAAAAAAGAATTATTAAAATTGAGTCATAAACAGACATTCTACAGGAGTACTGCTTACGCGAGGCGCCCGCGATATTTCGAGTACCCTGTATTCGAACTTCATGGAAATTAGTATAGTTAGGTTTTAATAGCCCTTCTCGATATTTGACATAAAAAATTAGTCCAAGTTGGCCATGACTTCAAAACATAAGTTTTCAGGGCATTTTTTAGAGATCTACCAACAAAAAATTATTAAAATCAAACCCTAATCAAAGACTTTACAACGATGTACAGTTTTAAGCGGAGCGCAAACGTTTATAAACATTATAAAAATTGGTATAATTGAGTTCTAAGTACTACTGAATAAGAATTGGTTGCCAATTAATTTTCTAAAACATCGCAACATTGAAGCAACAAGCAAACCAAGATTTTAGTGCATTTTTCAGATATCTATCCAACAAAAAAAAATCAAAATCGAACCATAAACAGAAATTTTACAAGGGTGTACAGTTCTTAAGTGGGACACACTGTATATGATTTAAATACATTTTTTCAAAAATTGAACTGAGGTGGTTTTTCCTTTTATCAAAATAAATAAGAACTAAAGCTCAGATTTTCAGGAAATTATATATTCTTACATGACAATTGTTTCGACGACTTATCAAATGTAATATTTGCAAACTACTTGTTACTATACATATACCAAAAAATGGCAATAAAACCTTTAATTAATGTTGTGAGAATTTAAGTTTAATAAAGGAGAGATATTTAAATCTAATTGATCGTTAAGACATTTGAATGTCTCATTTTGTTAATCTCCATGGCTTCTAATAAATTTAATTTTCTACTTTTTGTGACTGTATGTAATATAACAAAATTGTCGTCAAAAATGTGTTTTTCTGTGTTTAAGTGTGTAGCATAACTAGAATCTAGACTATTGTTTTTAAACGCTCTTTTATGTTCGTTAATGCGTTTCTTGAAGGATCTACCTGTTATATAAATTTTAGGACAAGATCCGTATATCAACCTGCAGACACCCGATTTTTGAGATTTTGGACATTTCGTTTTATTATTTTTTAAATATTTTCCTATTGTGTTGTCAGTTCTGAAAGCTATTTTTCAATCACATTTTGACAAATGTTTTGAAACTGTTTCACCGGGTTCTCCTATGTATGTAATTGTTTTAAATTGTTGGTGTTCTGTATTAAGTTTCGGATAAATAGAGTTTACTGTTGTCTGGATTTGTTTTTTATTTATAATTTTATCTATAATGGAATTTTATCTATAATGTAATTAAGTTCTTTGTTGTAATTTTCTGTTGAGAGTGGCGTATTAAGAAGAAGGAGTGAAATGCAGCCATTTTATTTGTATAACGGTGATTTGAGTTGTTATGTGTGATGTGCCCGTGTGTGAAGGTTTATGATAAATGGAAAAATCTAATTGGTTTTGCGTTTTCGTAATAGTTAAGTCTAAAAAATTAATAGAGTTATTTTCTTCAATCTCGATAGTGAATTTTATATGATTATGTAATGAGTTAATGTAATTTAAAAAAGAATTCAATTGTCTGTCCGTTCCAACAAAGCAAGCAAAGACATCATCCACTTATCTATAGTACCATAGAAAACTTTTACTTAAAGGATGTTCTGGTATGATATTTTCCAAATTATCCATAAAGATCTCGGCTAAGAAAGGATTAAATGAGTTTCCCATAATCAAACCTTTCTTAGAGAGGTAAATCTGTCCATTAAATTCAAAATAATTTTAGTCTAAAGATACTATTAAGCAATCTAATAAATCTTGTTTCACCAATGGGTTAACATGTTTCCGAGTTAGGGTGAAATCTACTAAATCTATTACATCCATAGGTGGAATACTGGGAAATAAGTTTTGTACATCAAAAAACAATAGTGTTGCGTTAGAAGGGATTTTGATATCTGTAATTTTGTTGATTAATTCAAAAGAATTTTTTATTGCAAATTTTGCTTTAAAATCTGTGTGGAACTTTAAAATATTTACTAAGTTTGTTGAGAGTTTAACTGCTGGAGCTGTGACACGGCTGGTCTAATGGTCATAATTGTTAAAAAATATTTGTCTTTGTCACTAAATAGTGTGGAGTTACTAATTACTTCCTGACTTGTCTTTGATATAACTCGGTAGGATCGAGTTTGATATATTGGAAAAGTTCTGGTTTAAGGAAATTGTTGGTTTTTGAAATATGTTCTGAGAGATCTATAGATATGACTGTCTTTCCTTTATCTGCACGTGTAAATATTATGTTATTTAGTTTTTACTAGTGACATTTGAGAAATTTCTTTGTGTTTGTTGTTTTTTGTTGTTATATATATATATATATATATATATATATATATATATATATATATATATATATATATATATATATATATAACACAACAGCAAATAGGAGTTACTATACAGTACTACCTCTTAAATGATATTGTGCTTTTTGTGGGAGATACAAATATTTTAAATTACATGGACAGAATGGAAAAAATGTAATATATATATATATATATATATATATATATATATATATATATATATATATATATATATATATATATATATATATATATATATATATATATATATATATATATATATATATATATATATATATATATATATATATATATATATATATATATTACATTTTTTCCATTCTGTCCATGTAATTTAAAATATTTGTATCTCCCACAAAAAGCACAATATCATTTAAGAGGTAGTACTGTATAGTAACTCCTATTTGCTGTTGTCTTCCTTGGAAACTGTAACAACAATAACAAAATCCACGTAACTTAATAGCGGATCTAATAAATTAATATTAATAATGACAATAAAACGAATTGTGGTTAGCTGAATATAAACGAATAACGAGTTCATATCATTTTATTTTTCTTTCAGATGATATAGACAAAATCTCCAGTTTAGACAGTCAGGCGCTGCCACATCATGTTTCATTCCCCTGCCAACAATACGGGATACAACGACGCGAACTCTGGTTTTCACCAACATCTTCAACAGTCCCCAGTGTACGTCCCCAGTAATCGTGCTGCAACTATGCCCCAATATCCTTCTCCAGCAGGAAGTCATTTTGGTACCGCGGCCGCTCATCAAAACGCGTGGCACACGGGAGGCGGTTACGGTGATATGACCGCAACAGCCGCGCACGGTTTAGGGGCAGCAACTCATCATCCAGGGGCACTGGCTGCTGGTCAGTTTTATGCTCAAAATATGATGATGAGTTCTTGGCGGGCGTACGATAGTAGTTTTCAAAGGACTTCGCCATACGGTAAGTTTGGCTTCACATACCACAAAGAAAACTTTCGGGTCGGTATCACTTTTCTGCGTCTTCATTTCTAGGACTTTTTGCATTATCGAAACGTAGGAGGCAAACATAATTATTTAACCTAGTTAAATTTATTTTTATTAAACTTTATCGATTTCGAATATAGATTATCTTCTTATAGGTACCTAAATCTCCAAAGAGTATATAACATTGGCACTGCATATAACAGATTGCTATAATTATCTATCTAACTAAATTGACCTTAGATTTTTAAATAAAGTTAATGAACACAACTTAAACTTATTTGCATGAAACTTAACTTAAATTGCATTAAATAATATTAAATGTAACAAAAGCAACAAACAACCCTTATTTTCCAAACAACCTCACACTCTAAATTCTATTGCGGAAGTTCCAGGTGATTTTTATTGGTCTATTCAGTAATATTTACTTGTTTGGAAAATGGTTTTCTAAAGAACAGCAGCAGCACGGCGACTACTGCTTAGAGTAGATGTGAAACCTCTTGTAGAATGTCAAACCTACCCTGCTACTCAAGGTCAAATATAAAACCAGAATTTTTTTCATGTCAATGTCTCATTCATGTATGTCTCATCCGACCATATTACCGATGTTTAAAAATTGCGTTCCTTAAATTTATTATACTCTACTCTTGATAAGTTCTGCCTGAATGGCCCTACATGACGTGTAAGGATTTGTTTCTACTGCGGGTACAATATTACCTGTCGATTTTCCTTATTGTTGTATTTTATTGTCCTTATTCCTATTTGGGAGAGGTTGCCTTCTGAGTATCTAGTATCTATCATAAAATAAAATATCAACGGGAAATTTCGTCAAATTATTATCTTTTAAATCATTAATTTTGCGGCTTCAAGCGAATTTTCGTTGAAATGTATGTAACAGAAATTGTTATAACCCTTGAGATAGAACTCGAAGGTCTGATACGCTTCAGCCATTTTTTTATCTCAAGTTTTAACATTTTTAAGTTAAATGCAAATATTTTAATAAATTATTGTTAAATTATCAAAAGCACGGTAGGCATGAACAATAAATAATCTTTTGTTTTATTAGCATTATAGAAAAATGTTAAACACATTAGAACAAAACTACCTACGCCACTGGATCGAAAGAACAAAGTTCAATAACTTTAATAAGTTTAAAGGCAACCGAGATACGGGTGGTGCCCCAAAAAGCTCAGCTTTTCAATTTGACTCGGTATATCAAATACCAAGGGGGATATATTTTGTTGGTCGCATCTTTAGTCCCAGTTGCACAGTATCGCGAAAACTGCAACTGCCTATCAAAATAAATGAGATACCATAATAATAATATAATTGATAATAATTGATCTCTATATTTCTACAATATCTGTTAATTGTTGAATGCAAAAATGAAAATGAACAGATATACAACATACAGTGTTATTTTTGGTTGATACCTGAATTGTGGATAGAATTGGCGAGTAATATGTGATTACGCATTATGTAACTTTTATAGAAGTAAGCATGTTATAGTTAATACAGGGTGCGGCAAAAAGGTAGGCAGGATTTCAAATAGTGGTTGTTCGGTTTGTAAAACCGGCCACACGTTAGGGAGACAAAAGTATGCAAAATTTCAGTTATCGACATGGCTTGGAGCGGAGTGCATCGTGCTTTCGTTGTGTTGGAGTTTATTAGAAATGGGGAATCTGTAATAGCGGCGCAGCGCGCCTTTCGTAATCAGTTTGATGTTGGTCGGCATGGCGCGGTTTCGGATGGAAAAACAATTCGTCGGTGGGTTTGACACTTCAGGGAAACAGGTTCTGCGCTTAACCGAAAATCTACTGACCGACCAAGGACAGTAAGAACACCGGAAAATGTGAATGCAGTAAGAGTTTCCGTACAACAGTCTCCAAAGCGTGCAGCTGGTAAGCATACAGCTGCTTTGGGAATTCCCGATAGAAGTGTTCGAAGATAGAAGTGTTCGAACTCACTCCAAATGCATCCGTACAAAATGATGGTAGTGCAGAAATTAAGCGCAAGAGATTTTGAAACCCGTACAAATTTATGCCGAGATATTCTTCAAAACATTCCCAGAGGCGCTGTATTCATGTCTAGCGATGAAGCCCACTTTCACCTCTCGGGTACCGTAAATAAGCAAAATTTCTGTTATTGGTCAGCAAATATTCCACAGGAACTTCATAAGCGACCTCTTCCCAGTCCAAAAGTCACCGTCTGGTGTGCAATCTCGGAGTTCGGTGTGTGGGGTGCTTACTTTTTCGAAGAAGATGGAATTTTGATGGATATTTTGATATGCTTAACAATTTCCTGCGTCCAAAACTGAACGAGTTGAACAACGATCAAAGAAAACATCTTTGGTTTCAGCAGGATGGTACTACATCGCACACAACGCGTCGTTCAATAAATCTTCTTCAAGAAATGTTCCTAAACAAAGTGGTGTCTTTACTTTTTTGTTTGGGGTTACCTGAAAGCGAGAGTTCTCATACATCGTCCGCGGACTTAGGAAGAATTAAAGGCAACCATAAGACAAGAAATTGCCTCAATTCCCCAAGAAATTATAAATCGGGTAATGGTGCGCTTCCGCGAGAACCTACAAGAGTGCATCGACAATAATGGCCGTCATTTAAAAGACATCATTTTTAAAAAATAACGTTCCCAAATGGCATAAAATGTACATTTCAAAAATAATTTTAAAAAATGTTTACTTTATGTAGTTTGATTTTTATTAACATCCCAAACAGTACCTATCATTTTGCCGCACCCTGTAGTTAGTACATTACGCAACAAGATTGTTGACTAGTCAAGCCATTGAAGAAATTTTCAACTTATTGTATATTTATAGTTTTTCATTACTAACTAAAAACTAAAGCGGCATTTCTAATTAACTAAAAATGCAGTATAATTTTATAACAATTAAATATTTTGCAGGATAGACGTTTGAGGTATTTTGATTTTACAGAAACGACAATATCGTAATTTTAAATAGGAGGATAAATTTCACTAATGTACCACTCCATGGGTAATTTAAGACGATATTACAAATCTAAGATAAAAGCATCAGTGTAAATCAGCGTTCAAAGCCGCGCAGAAGCCCACCACGTATCCCGTTTTAAAAACACTTAAGATTATCAATGCACGTTTGATCGCATTAAGGATTTACTTCCTCGTTTTACGATACCATGGAAAATTTGTTCTGTTTATTGTCACAGCGAATTCGTGCATTTATTTTTAGATTTTTCTAACATCGCTTTACTTCGAAAAAACGCGCAAGCAAGCAAGTTATTAAGTATTGCGTATCACAATTTTTTAAGAAAATAGCGAGCAGGCAAAATGATGTATCAAGCGCGCAGCGCTTAATGAATGAGTAAAACATCTAATAGATGTAATTGTTTATCGTTAAATAATACTACGCATAAGATTAACTATATTTACTTAAAATGGCGAACTGAGAGTATGAAAATAAATATTCCTTATTATACCGTCCCGGTGAAAAATGCCCATTTGAATGAAATTTTGTGACAATAATTTAAACACTCAATTGGCATACCAAAACTAACAACAACAAAGTTTGATTAACAGCTTAAAGGTGGAATAGTGAAGCTCCAATGAACTCAAAATATTTCAAACAATTTATCTTAAAACAAAACCCTAAGAAAAAAATTTTATTTTGTATTTTAGAGATAATTTCATTGACATATTAAAATTCCAATAACCCGTGATGTCACTATGGCAGAAGCAAAAGTTTTGGGCTAATTATTTAACTGGTCAAACATAACTTAACATTTTAAACGGTCTAATAACTCGTTTTTTCTTTTATTTAGTTAATTTACCATCGTCTTCACTAAATTGTTGAACCGAATTACTCGTTGGTTTATCGAATAGTAAAATTAGGCATAATATTGACAATTGCATTTATAATAATGTAAGGAGTTTAATAAACGCCATTTTAGTCATTAATTTGATTTGGTATGAGTGGAAGGAGTTAGTAAACGTTATATTTAGAGGCTAGAGAAAAAAAGTTTATTGAGTTTAATTAATGCCAGAATACCACAAATTAGGCATATGCACACTTCTCCTTTCTTTTATGAATTAACCATTTTTAATTCTCGTCTGTATACTGCCTTTAATCCTTTCCTTCGTTTATTGCATTCGCATCCATTTATTTGAATTTTACCAACAATCATTTGACGCAGCAAAAACTTTCAACCAAGATAAATTTTAAAATAATATTCTTCGCCAGAGGCAAAACCATCATTTCCACACTTCAGACTTCTTTACAAGGACCAGTAATTCGAACACATTCGACAGAAAAAATTCGACCAATCCCGGGGTGGGTGTTGAACGATGATGAAAACGGCAATGTTCCAGCAAAATTTTGGGTAGTTTGGTTAGATTTTAGACTTGTTCAATGAACAACGCAAGCAACCAGCAATGTAATTGATGGGCCCCTTACGATTAGAAAGGAGCATAAGTAATTTTCTATTACGGGTTCTTTTAAATTGAAAATAGAATATTTAAAAACTCGAGGGCCTATTAGCAAGATTTCCTTATCACATGTTGGTTGCAGCCATTGAAGCTACTACCTTTTACGAAATTTCCCTATACTGTAGACTCTAAATAGACAATAAAGAATCAAACAAGGATATTTAAAAAATGAACCTTTTGACTCAACCCCATATACTTATTCTGAGAACGGCGCTTCATTCTAGACAAAACTTTATAATACAATCCACAATTATTAACGTTTTAATATAAGCTATCGAATTAAAAAAAAAAACATTTCCAATTAGAACCTTTATCTGAAAGACAAAGACGGGTAGGGAAACTTCGTTTCACACAAAAGGTGACCACACTGTTGTTGAGAAAACCTCACCTTTCCCTCTATAACATAGCTATAGTGATCGTAAGGACGGTAAAAATTGATGCGATTCAGGCGGCTATCAAGTTTTCGTAGAGAAGGAAATGGATATTCCGTCCATACGCCAAAAACCTGCACTTTCCGCCATTTTCTTTCTAAACAGCGATTTTTATACATTCTAGTTGCTATTCTCCAAACATTTTCGTAATCTGGGCATATTTTGCGATCGTGCTGGTTGTTGAACACCACTGAGTCTCGTTTGAATGTTCTGAATTATCTAGTAACAGAGGCAAAGTCTCTACCTAGTAGCTATGTCATTTTTAAAGACAACTACAAAACCAGATGTCACAAAAAACACCAAATTTGCCAATTTGGTGCGTTTTAAAAACAATTAATAAAGACGCGTTTTCTTTCAGATCCAGGAGTGGAGTTTCAGTTTGGCGAAGGAAGAGAATGTGTTAACTGTGGCGCTATATCAACCCCGCTGTGGCGACGCGATGGCACGGGACATTATTTATGCAACGCCTGTGGACTTTATCATAAAATGAACGGCATGAATAGGCCGTTAATCAAACCATCCAAACGACTGGTAAGTTAATTTCATTTAAGTGCGTGTGTAACTCTTTTGTATACATCATCAATAAATTGTTGCACTACACAAACTTTTTTATATTTTACTTTATTTCAGTTAGTTGTGTTCCTGCAATTTAACCGAGTTAACAGAGAATGTTAGTTGCTCTATGTTCAAATTTGTGTGCAAAAACGTAAAACTATTTACTTGCTACTTCGATATCATAATATAATATAATAAATAACCTCTTAAAATGTTTTGCTGTTCAGGAAATTCTGCTGATTCTGATATACCAAGTGTTCCAGTAAATTAAGAATTAAGTAAGTCATTATTCACCAAAATTTCTAGAAAATGTTCTAATATTATTCATAGTTGGAATCTTTTAAAGTCAAGACAAATTGAAATCTTTTTTCGTTCAATGTTTTATGTTGTATCTCTGCAAGGAAAGCGGTGGGCGGTGTTTCTCGAGAACTCCAAAAAGGTTTTTTTGAAATTTAGGCTAGTGAACATAGTTTCTACTAAAGTAGCCTAAGTCAATCTAGTCTGTCCAAAAATATCCAGATTTTGCCCAAAATCCAAAAACTATCACGAGCCACTTGGAGCGTTTCTGGTACATGATTCAGGGGCTTGAGAGCGATAGGATGTTTTTGGTAGATTTTATTCACTGATGATAGTTTTACGTTTGTCAGTTCCGACAGTGACGTGACACATCACGCAGTTTTGCTGATCAAAACTAACCAGACGTATACAAATATTTTCTCGAAAGGTTTGCCAAACCACTTTAATTAAGTGAGCAATTTCACTTTTCTTAACAAGTTTGTTATCCTGCGACCACAGATCAAGCCATTTATATTTTTTTTATGTACTCTTTAATATATATAAATGCTAGCGATCGCATCAGTAAGGGAATCTACAGGAAAGAAGCAAACAACATCTTGGAACGAAAATTATTATATGACCTCAAGTTTCAATATTCAAGGTGTCTCTTTTATCTTTGTGTATTTTTTGCTACATTCACTTTTTCTTTGAAGTTATAATTTTCATTTTCTTTCATTTTACTTATACGTTTTTGTATTTTTTAAAACTTTTAAAAGACTCATCAATCGCTAGTATTTATTCAGGTATATGTATCAATTTTTCTTTTCCTTCTTTTATTTTTTCAAATTTAACCTCCAAATTATTATTGTGTTGGTCTCTATGACTCTACAATGACAAGTGCTTAATGTATCTTTCTCATTACTGTGAAATTATTGAGGAAGCTTATCAGCGTGTTGCATACTATACTTTTTATAAGACTAATAGTTTTTGTTGATTGTTTCCGGCGTCAATCAAAAAGTGAGGTTACATCTCACGGGTTGGGACATGAGCGATTATTGCAATAATAATAATAATTAATACAATTCAAATGAATTACAAATTAATCATTACATATTGCATATTGACTTCTTTTATTTTCTTGGAATACGCCATCAAACCTTTCGAAAGTAAAAGCGTGTGGGCGATAATAAAAAAAAGTCCTAGCTTGTTCGGCTGTCAAAAAACAACCATGTTTATTAATTTGTTGCAGACAGCGACGCGTCGTTTGGGTTTGTGTTGCACAAACTGCGGCACAAGAACGACGACCTTATGGAGGCGAAACAACGACGGCGAGCCTGTGTGCAACGCCTGCGGCCTTTATTTCAAGTTGCACGGCGTCAACAGGCCGTTGGCGATGCGTAAAGACGGCATACAGACCCGCAAACGAAAACCGAAGAAACCACAGGGAAGCGGAGGTGGTGGTGGTGGGAATGCCGCGGAAAGAGATGACAGCAGCTCCGCCTCCGTGGAAGGTAACTACCACGCCTCACTTTGAATGATCCGCCCATTTAATTCAAGTGGCAGATGCTTAACTATTGATCTGCCGACATTGGCGTCCTTACAGGGCTTTATTAACGATTTAAGTATGTAAATTTATGTAAGAAAAGTTATATTTGGACAATTATGATGAAAAGGTACCGCCAAGTACCATTTCTTAACTCTTATACTGGTTGACCCAATAGGAGCAACAAGGGCGGTATTAGCTAAACGGACAGTCATAAAAATGAAAATTTTTTTAAAAATAAATTGAGCTAGAGAAAATGCTGGAAATTACATCTTGATTTTTAAGATCAGGTTTGTACAAAATTTTCTAATATTAACCATCTAATTAGATTATTTTAGACCAATTTAAACCTTTTTTATTTAATGGTTGTTATCTCTGAGGGTGTTCGAGCATTTGCAGAAATAAATGTCTATAACTTCAAAAAGGCTGAACGAATTTGAATAAACTTGCATGGAGCAGTTATGCGATTGCCTTTGATTAACTTGACAACAGGCAAAGTTTTTTGACATAATCGTAGAATTTTTTGCATATAAATGAAACGATATGACTTTTTTTAGTTTAACCAAATAAGGGCCCATCAACCCTGCGAAACCCGCATCTCGATATGTTTTTAAAATATGATCAAAAAGAAATTAACACTCAAAAAAAGGTGAATTTTGGAAATCATTTAATTTAAATGTTCCGCACTTTTATTAATGCTTACCAAATGATTTTAAAATTCTTTATAAAGTACTATTGTTTATCACGTTTAATCTCTACTATCCAAGTAGTAAAATGTGGAAAACCTTTTAAGAAAGACATAAATTATCTCCTTTGACAGAAATAATTTCGTTTGTAATGACCAAAGACTGCCATTGCAAAAACATCTGTTTTGGTAAATTCGAGATAGTTAGAAATTTAACTAATAACCTGTAAACTAGAACTGTTTTCAAAAATTCAAATAACTTTTTTTTTAAATGGTTTTATTCAAATTTCAGATTAGGATAAAGATATTGAGATGCTGTTTTCGCTGGGTTGTTGACCCTTAATTAACTATGTAGTGACTAAAAGAAGTAATATCCTTGCATGTATCTTATTGACAGACAAATATGTTTTTGCGATTGTATCGTCTAGATAGGTAGCCTCATTTATAGCACGATGGATAGCTTAGGAAAAGCACTTTTCAACTACTTTGAAAAAACACCCCACCCCCCGGGTCATTATAGAATTTTTTTGCAGCAAAATCAGGTTGATTTTTTATTGAAATGTCCTACTTTTTTCATTAGAACTTTTCAAGTTCAAGTAGGAGTCGTGTGTAGTGTTGCTTTTGTACTGTAACAATTCCTGTTTTTTCCCATTCATCCTTAAATTTTCTTCAAAATATAGCAAATAAATTCTTATTCCTGGCATTTATTTGAAATTCAAAGAACTATTCTGAAAAGATAAATAGAAATTTTTCTTTTTTTTTTCTTAGTCTCTATCGGATTTGGTATATTTTCCAAAAGTATATTGCGATAACTTCATCTAAACTTCTTACTAAAATGAAACCACAAATAATCCTACTATTATTGACCCTCAAGAAAATGAATGAATGAAATTTGAATAAAAAATAAGTTGTGTGATTTGATACTGCCGACGGTTGTTTAATCCGTCAAATTGTTAAGAAAATTTTAAAATATTTGAACCTCGGCCAAAAGAAGCCATTAATAACCTCAGAATTTTTGAACCTTTTAAATCATTCCATACGCAGCATGCAAGCTTATGTATGCTTGAAGATGGAAAACAAGACGCGACAAGAACTTTCCTTGTCTTTATTTTTTAACTTGTATAAAGCGCCTTCCACATTTCGTCGAACTTCAAGGTTACATCATTAAATATTAAAATTTGCACAAGTAATTGCGTTGTCGATTGATATTTTATCAATATATGTATAATTGATGAAACCTGAAACTCTCTCTCGACACAGTTTACGATACTGTTCAAATAAAATTATCCCATCTTTAACAGTTTTTCATTTATCGCCAATAATTTACCCACAAAAACGAAAATTTATAAGATATTTTAGATTTTTTGCCAATAAACGACACACCCTGTATATGATTCAAACAATGTTCGAAGTAGAGGTTATAGCCCTCGATCTTCCACATATCTTGGTCCAAGAATTTTTTGAAAATAATAAATAGTTTTCGAGAAAATAAGTTTTTTCTGAAACCGTGCAGTGTGAAAAAATAATCAATGACGTCATCGCGTCTTGAATGCCACCAAAATAACGATTTCAATATGGAATTATGATATGATCTCCCACTTTTTCTGGTATTTGATTTTTTCGATATAGTAAGTGCTTTTCAAGAAAATACTTGTTTTCTGAAACCATGCAGTACGTGGTAATAGTAAATGATGTCATCGCGTATAGATTAGGGACGAGAAATGGTGATTTTTATTTGGATTTTTTCAAATATTTGTAACAGCATATGTGAGAAACGAAAACCGCAAATACAAAAATTGTAGCTCCTGATGCGGCCTATTTAAACCAATTAGCCATATTTTTTACAATTTTTGATTTGCGGCTAATAATTTACCCTGTAATAGAACAATTTTCTAGGTCTTTTAGATTTTTGCCTATAATTTAAAAACCCTGTATATATTCGAAAAAATGCATGAAAAGAATTTTATTGCACTGGATGTGCTGCGCCTGCTGGTTAAAGAATTTTGCCGATCGGGTAAACGATTATGGACGCTAAAATTGCCAAAAAAAAATATCGAAAATTAAAAAAAAAAACTTGGTAAAATTTGATTGCACTCAATTTCTAACGCTTAAATGTGGAGACGGACTTTTATTGCTCATTTCTCATTTAGCACGGAATATCGAGAACACCCTGTACAATAGGTGAAAACCTTAAACACAAAAGTTTTTGCTGTCTATGCTTGCTATATCGCAATGTAATTGAAAGTGCGATCTGAATCATAGTCCTTCAGTTATAACCAATTTTCAATAATAGGGGGACACATTTTTCTGAAAAATTGTCAAGAATAAAAGTTTATGGAGCCGCATCTTCTGCGTCCCTCTGGTTGATTTTTTTTTTTGGCCTCGAAAACGGTTTTTTAAAGCTGATGTTGTTTGTAGACCCTTGCACACGCGATTTTTTTTTTTTTAAATACTTCCCGACCCCCCAGCCCCCCATTTTCAGTAGGTTCCGTCACGGACCAAATATGAAGTCGATTGCTTCAAATTTCGGACACTTATCATGTTTCATAGCAATGTCCAAAAAACCGTCGAAAATCGTGAAAAAAAGATGGATACCGGCGCCTGATCAGGGCCATTTCTTATAAGTTTATGTGTCTCGTGGAGTGTTAAAAAGGGGGCAAATTTTACTTTTGTAGCTCCAACGGTTCGAAAGTTATTCAGGAAAAACCAAAGGACGAGAACGGAGAAAGGACAAACAGACAAACAAAATTTTTTTTTCGACAGTGATCATTTCTGTGCCAACGGCGATCCCCTACCGTTACCGAGATATAAAATTTTTATATGGGCGTAGATACTTTCGAAAAATTCGATTTCATCGATTTTCGAAAGTAACAAGCGTGCTCACGAAAAAATCCAGAAACATCGACGTAAGAGAAATAGCGTATCTACCAAATACCCTGTGAATATGGCGAATAAGACAAATGAAGTTAGACAATCTCATAGTTCTAACAAAAGTTTATGTATTAAAATTGAAAATAAAAAGCAAACAATCTTCCATTTACCAAGAGCAGTAAATGTTAAGGTTCTAAATAATTATCAACAGCAGAATTTTACAATTATTATGAGATAATGTAAACAATAATTTGTACAATAATGCAGATTAATGAAGACAGTTTTATAGCTAAAATAAAATTACTGGCTCCTATTGAAGAATATAAAGGGTTCATCGAATTTCCCTAATTAAGCTAATAGAATGAATCTCAGGGTCAAAGAGCTCGTGGCAAATAAACTCATTCTGTCGGTTGCAACCTGTGAGTTGAGAAGAATAGTTTCAGAGATATAATATAAAATGCTAGCTAATGTATTTTTCGGTGCTTATGATTAATGACAAGGATAAAGGCTTGCCATAATAACATTGTTAATTCTATAAATTTGTTGGTTAATTATTATATGTTTAAGCAACGACAGCGTTCTATCTACACACTAATTTAATTACAGCACCAAATTTGCCCAGCATAAAATAAGCGATTGTTGATTCATAAACACATTCACACACCTCACAGAATATCTATTTTTATATAACCTATTTTTATAACATTTTTATATAATCAAGGAAAGATTGTCACCTGTAGTATCAAATCAACGAAAAGTTCACTTTTAAAGCAAAATCTTTTTTTTTTGCTCTTTCGAAGGGTGTTCTTTTAAATAACTTTGTTATTGCCCTTGTTAATTTTCAAGGATTTAATTTGGATTTCTTCGGGTCTGAAGGAAAGAAAGTTTTTTATGGTTTACTTTAAGGAAAAAAAGGCATTTTTTGTTTCACTAATTTTGTTGTTTTTCATTTGCACTTCGAATTATTTTTGATATGTAGGTATTTCTGATATACCTGTGTGTAAAATGCTAACTGAGACCTAGATTTTTACTAGAATAGAATTTTTATTTTTGACCGTTATATTCTATCACTCCTAATCTACTAATATCTTAGGCGTAACCACCAATTGTCAAGGAAAAATTTTATCACTATGTTTTCCGATAAATTTACCTTACTTTATCCTTTATTTTCAGTTAGTTCTACAAAATTGTATCGATACTTTGAGATGATTTACTTTTTTATCTTTGGTACGAAATTGTCCTAATTTTTATTAAATTCACAATTAAAAAAAAGGCTGCGAATTAACACAAAAAATGTTGATAAAAAGAGTGAATTCGCAAATTTTAAACTTTAAAAATTATTTCAACTATACAAGACAAGAATAGAAAATAATCCATAAAAAACATACTTTACTGTTATTATCTTCTCTATACATATATATCCATCCGCACTCTTTATATCAAAAATTGACTATAAACCCGTACCATAACAACATTTTTATTTAAAATTTGACAACGAAGGGTTAATTTCAGCGGTTGAACTATACATAGCTACTTGCTGTAATAGGTAATTATATTCTTATAATGACAACCTATTAACTTTGTTGCCAAAAAAACGACTGTAGTATTCCCAACTCTGAAAGGGAAGATCAGACATTCCTTTTTTCATTTTCGTTTTAATAAACGATAGTTAAACTTTATAAAAATAACAACGGATATGCCGCCATTGCTTATCCTATGTTTATTGATATTAACGTATTATTTACAGACTCCAAGTCATCAAATCTAGTCCATCAGTCTCCAAGTCAACAACATCAGAGCAATCATCATACCTCATCCCATACTAACAGCCAAAATCACAACATGGAAAAGTCGTCTTTGTCAGAAAGACCCTATCTAGGACCAACCTCCCTACTACCGGCAACTAGCACGAGTACAATAAAAAGTGAACCCGGATACGAATACAGGTACGTATTTAGCACGCCTTTATAAGCAGAACGTTTTAAGCAATTAAGCAATACGGATTTAAAAATATTGAATATTAAACAGAGAGACTTCGCAACTCGGATGTCAAGTGTATGGTTCTCTTACTTTTATTATTTTGACGTCATATTTCCAGCAATATCTATACCGGATGGCCCGCTTATTAAGATCCTTATCTCAGAACCTGTAAAAAGTGTTTAAAAAACTTCAAGACTAAAGTTGCTTGGATTCATTTATACTATGTAAATATTATATTTTTTTGTATCCAGAATGTTTGTCTTTTTGTGGTCAAGTAACAACAGTCTCTTTAAAACGGAACACACCGTATATTAATGCGTTTTGAAATTTTTAGTGACCTTTGCCAATCTCAATATAGTTATCCATTTCTCCGAGTGAAAGCCTGTTTTATATATATTTTGGCAGTTTGGGTTGATATTTAAAAAATAAATAAACACGCGATGGTGAAAAAGTGACATTAAAAATTTAATTGAGAAAAATGTGAAAAGTCATGTTTAGAAATACCCCATTTCCCATTTTAATAATTTTATCGTTTAATTTGTATAAAGTTGCTTATTTCAAAAACTTGTAAATTTCGAAAAATCGTGATCTTTTTTTTTAAATAATAATGATAGCTAGATTGAGCGCTGTTTTAAAGCTTAGGCAAATATTTTTGCTCTTTGTTCCGTCTCTAAAAAGGAAGCGATGTCAGTGAATTGAATGAGATTGCTTACCTTAATTTTTTTTTGCGATTATGTTAGAAAACGACTTTCAGTTTGTTGTTGGACACTGATTTGACTATTCAATGGAGTAAAAAACATTTTGTGGAAGTTCTTTTTTTTTAGAAAAGTATATTTCTGCTATTATGTCAGAAAAAGGCATCTTATTGTAGGGCAAGCAATCGATTGTCTAAGAAAAACCCTTCCTAACGACTCTTGTTTTTTCAAATTTCTAGAACCATCTGTTTCCATAATACCGTGCCTTGTTACTTGTTGTTAAAATGATTAATTTGCCACTAATTTCGCGAGTTCCCAGACATAGCAATTAATTGTTATTCTTATTATACGAATTGGAATTAATCATCAAACTAGAATTTTGAATTGTTAAAAAAATGTCTTTTATCATTATCTAGTTGCCTTCAGAACCAAACATCATACCCGTACCAACAAATGTTCGGATTCCCTAGTCCATCATCAGGCAGTAGTGAAATTGCCTATCATCACCAGCACCATGTGACAGCAGCGGCAAAGCTAATGGCATCATCTTAGTTGTAACAGTAATTTATTGATACTTCGGTTAAACCTAGATATGACGTAGCTGTGTGATAGAAGATTTGACGTGCAATTTCAGATACTGTGTAATTTACAATAGTTACAAAAGGCGCTTGTCACAAAAGAGTTCTAAGAAGGTATCGAATTGTAGTGTGAAATAATTTAGTTCATGTAAATATGTAAATTTGGAAAAAATGTTTGTGTATTTCGTTCTTATAAGACTGTATAAATTATGTATTGTACCCTGGCGACATATATAGAGCTTTAGTACTATATTATAGAATTTTTCTGTTTTTATCATAAAAGTTTGCATAGTTATTGTAAATAAAACTCATTTGGCAGGCTCAAAAAATAAAACACAATTTTAAAGTAAAATGTACTGAATTATAATTATTGATAGTGAAATTAAACACCAATTGTGAAATAAAAAATCCTGCATTTATTTGTTAATATTGTCATCACGACAATTTTCTAAATTGTAAATTTGAAAAACAAAAAGTATTTGATTAAACGTAAATGTCGGCTGTCAGGCTTCTTCACTTGTTTTCTTTAGAAGTTGGGTTTGGTATTGGATTAAATATTTATAGCTGCAAAGCCTACAAAGTCGCCAAGCCTGCATCACAACGATTTTTGCCTAACAAAATAGTTGTGTTTATATCCAAATATTTTTTTTTATAAAACTGTAATCACACTTCTTTGTAAATGTACATGATGCATCTATATGCATCATATATATCTAAAAAGAAGAAAGAAAAGAAAAGTGCAAATGTGACCAATATCCTACAAACCCAAATAATATGCCAAAAAAAGATGTTATTTACTGGCATTGAGAAAATAAAATCGGTGAAGATGGGGGTCTTATATCAACTACTTATCTATCTACATGTGCTCGTTTGGAACAAGAATCTGTCAACTTTTATGTAATCCATAAAATAGGTCACAAATCTAACATAGGCTAAGGTCTGGACGTGTGTGACATTTTTTATAAAACCAATGAATTTTATCAATAATGGAGATACAATTGAGAACACTCATAAATAATTCCTGAAAGGAACAAATATTTTGGCTACTCCCTTCTTTAAAATATCCAATTTTCGGCCATTTCCAGAATATTACTACACCGATTTAGGAGCAATCGGATATTTTCGGCTTGAATGTTGACGTTTGTCGATTCTAATGATCATATCAGTGAGCGGTCGTAAAAAAAGGTTAGTATGCAGTATAGTTGGTAAACTTTTTAAGTCAGTTGTTTATATTGTTGCATAACCATTTACTATTATTGTATATTTTAGAAAAGTTCCATATTTTTATCCTGTTGCTATAAAAGTTGCCGTGAAAGATTCATATTTTAAGCTAAAGAAAATAAAGTAAAATAACGTTTGTAATACTTGACCATCAAAATGTGTAGCAAACGGTTACCGTAAAAATATTTTTAAAAATAATTTACCACTTAATAAGACGGCCTTTTCATGCGTCTCAGGTTACGCACACATTTAGCAATAACTGACTTCTTATTTTGTTAATTTCAAAATCACTTTCAAAGTTGTGATTGTGCAGCATTAAATTGTTCACAAATTTTATAAGCGACAAGCCATCATACTTTTGATTGCACGTTAGCGAAATGGAACTTCATAGCGAATGGGGAAAGCCTCTAATACATTTGTTTACATAAATCGTACAATTACTGTTATAAAGTGTTAACGATCAACGACACACGTATCTACTCGTTAAGGGTCGTAAGTTATGAAAGATTCAAAAGACAGGGGTTGAGGTTTACGTCAAACGCCGTGATCGAGGGTGGCGCGGCACATAGGCGTATGCGGAACAGACGTAAAATGCGATTTTTTAAATCCACTTAAGTCAAATATAGATTTTTTAACTTGAGTAGCGAACCTGTAGAAATGTCGATTGTCGGATTTGTCATTTGGAGGATCAGGAGCATTCGTGGCTAAAAATGTACCCACTTTGCGAAACATACAGTAGTCGGAGATTATCTCTTTAACCCAAAAACAAAATTATTCTTGAAAGCTGATAAAATAAAAGTAAATTTAAATGACACCCAAATTTTTGGTAGGTATGATTTTTACCTACGCACCTGGCGATTATTTGGATATTTACGTCTACCAACTCCCAAAACACTTGCGGCTGCCATTAATAGATCGACCTGTCAATTACGGCATTACAAACAGATATAAAATCACTGCACTCTTGGGTCAGCACCACATTTTTGTTTCGTTTGCTGTGCTGGCGGGGTCTTTTCCATGGGTAAGTTTTCCGACATTGTTTGGTAATATTTAAATCTGAACTTTAACGCCACTTTTGCAGTGTTCTTGATTTTTTTAATACGGTTCTTTCATTGCCTTTTCACGTTACTATAATGCTTATTTATTTTATAAATATTTGTGTGGATATAAACAGCTGCAGACACGAGACGTGCAAATTGCAAAAATGGACGGTTTCTGCACATCTAAAAAGATATTTAGTTCATAAGAATTTTGGTGTATGAACTTTATCCTATTTGTCTGCATTGCTGCATTTAAATTTTAAAAATTTTAAATTCGTTTATTTAATAATATTATATTTAAATAATTAAATCCTATGTTAAAATGTGATTTGGAAATACTTTCCTAGAAACACAAGAATACAAAATTTCCTATAGCAAAAATGTGAATAAATGATTTTTTAAAAATGCATATTTTCCAAAAACAACTCGAAACGGCAACAGATGTTCATGCCTATGAAAATTAAGCTCCAGATACTGACATACTGAAAGAAGTGTTTACCTTAAATTATGTTTATATCGAAACCTGGCAGAAAATAATCAAGGAAATTTCGTTACCGTTCAAATATATAACATTTTATGTGTATTCCTAATATGAAAACATGCGTTTGGACCAAACTAACTTTGCTGTATTTTGAAAATTATTTGGTGTTGGTTTTGTCGGCACCATTAATATTTTTTTCAAAGGCTATAACCATATCATATCTTCCCAATACCAATTAGCGGAAAACTTCCCGATGTTTAGTATCCGCAGCGCAGTTTGCTAATGTTAGTAGGCTGACACCAATATACTATTACTATCAAATACTTATATACAATATTTAAAAGTAAGTAGTTTTATTAAATAATATAAAAACAACAATTTTTAGAAAGACAGAGGTGTTTCATACTTTTTGAGGAGCTTGTAAACAAACAAATTAATTTCTTCAAAAATATATAGGGCGTTATATAAACAAAAAAGCATTGATCAATATTTCAAAAGCAGTAAGTAACATTGATGAAAAAAATACTCCAATGTATAAAATAAGAAATTGTAATACCATTCGTTCTTATATTTTTCAAAAGCTCTCTACACCTCTGAAGCTATCACAGTTTTCTTTCCAGAATCACAGCAATTCGAATCAAAATGGGTCACAGTATAGTATTATTTTTGTTGCGTGGCGTGGCAAATAAAAATAATTTACATTAAAAAAAAACTGAAACATCAATTATACCTTATAAATACGTATTTTTCATTATGGCTCAAGATATTTTTTTTGAATTAAATATTTATGTTCATTTTAACCAGTAAAACGAAATAGAATTCTATTTATCACAAATGATAGAGCAGATTGACCTTGACCCATCATGTATACCATGGTTAGGATGAATATTTGAAAATAAATGGTAGCAGTTTTCATAAAAGCTTACGTCCACAAAATGGTAAAGTTACTAGAAATTAAAAAACAACTACTTATAATTTCAAACCATATCAAATTTTTGCAAAAAAACATCAAAATTCAAAACTGCGAAAGTTTGAAAATCCCTCGAACGTGTCCCTTCAATTTTAAACAGAATACATAGGTGAAATAGAAAAAAATGTTTAAAAAAAGTCACTCGGTTGATATTTTCACAATAATGGAGCCCCCGTATAACCAACTATGCCCAAAAACTTCTGCAGTAGGAGAATTAATGAGTCAATATAAAATTATCTTATTTTATTTAATCCGAGTATCCAGAAGTTTATTTCCTTCATAATTTAAAAACATTTTGATATACTGAACAATCCCAACTTTCGAAAAAGAACTTTAAATCACGATTTCAAACAAAATGTTACATCCGTTGCAGGCAGAAATTTGCCAGCACCTGTGCCCTGTAAAGTGTGCGGAGATCGATCATACGGAAAACATTATGGAGTGTATTGTTGCGATGGTTGCTCTTGTTTCTTCAAAAGAAGTGTCCGAAGAAACGTTATTTACAATTGCATATGTGAGTCGTCAATATTTCCACGTTCCATTTTAGCCTTAGTTCAGCCTAAAACTTTTCAGCTGGCAACGGAAGGTGTGTAGTGGATAAAGCTCGGCGAAATTGGTGTCCATATTGCCGTCTACAGCGCTGTTTCTTTGTTAAAATGGATGTTTCAGGTAAAGATTTTTGACGCATTTACGCTACAAATGGGGTTCTACCATTCATTTTCAATAATCGCAAAAGTTAAAAAATTTCACAGCTCCAATTAACTTGCTGAATGCACACATCATAACTAACATAAATATTCTAAAAATTGCACATTTTAGTTCCAAAATATTTATATCTTCAAATCTCGGTAAAATTAAGAACCGCATAAAAAAATAAGTATAAAAGAAATACCACAGTAAATTGTTATCACACCAAGCTAAGAAAAACAAAAATAATATAATACAAAATATTTAAAAAGTACTACGTACATACATGATATTTGACATTAAAGGTAATCTAAAAACCTTTAAACCCCCCATAACCTTTAAAATGTTCCTCGCTCAAACGTATTCTGAGATGAATGATTTGAGGATAAGTTAGTGTCCTCTTAGAAACCCAAATCGAAGGGTCTTAAGGATTTTCAAAAGAAAATGAGTAAGATGTCCGTAAAGGAATGAATTTATTTCGTTTCCGATGCGTTTTGTAACTTTAGAATTAATATAAATGGAAATAAACAGTAATTGATTGATTGATTGATTGATTGATGAGTTGACCATATCATACCTACCTAATCAATATTTAAAACTATTTATGGATGGCGCCGTAACAACTTCCTCTAGTAAAAACTTCTAAATTCCAAAAACTCTGTTTGGAAACAATATTTGAAGTAAATTTGCATCCCAGTAATGTTTTTTTTTTAATTTAAAGAGATAATAATCAACTAATATACCTAACTTGTACTATTGTATATTCAAATAATAATGATATTCAACAATGAGTACATTAAATAATTTTAGTCTAATTTGGTTTCGAATTTTCTGGAATAGCTTCTATAAATAAACGGTAAAAACGGCACGTTTTTCTACACAGAAACTATTAAACCAATAAAATGGTAATAAGAATATCTCTTGAATTTAATTTATAAAAAACTTTTCTTTGTGTAAAATTGAAAAATGTGGGGAGTTATTTTTCTCTTTAAAACTCATAATTTCCTATTGATCGTATCGTATTTTCATAACCCAATTGCTGACCAACTTATACGGATAACAAAATAACAGACACTAAGTGTGACGTCATCGCAAAAATGATTGTTTCTCTCTCTCACTCAAACCTAATTATGTGTTTGTACTCTAAATTAATAGATAGATACTAGTTCTACAAGAAACCATTCCTGTTTCTTTTTAGCGGTTCAAGAAGAGCGAGGTCCGAGAAAACCCAAATTATATTGCAAAGAAGCGTCAGAAAGCTTTACTTCGTTAAGTAACTTTGAAAGTTCTTCGTATTTCAACCGACACGCTGAAATTTATCACACGCACGAATTTGTAGCTCACATATTCCTCATCAGCATCAAGCAGATCAGATCCAATTCCGGTTTCGGCCTGTTAAATAGAATATCCCAAAATATTATTTTGGAGCGAGTTTGGGCTCCGGTTTTTATTTTCCGACTTACGAACTCGTCTGTTTCGTTAGAAAAAAGATTTCCGTGGCTCAATCCAATACTAAAGCGGATGTTGGTGCTGAATATGGACTGTATCGAACGGGAACTATTAGAAAATATATTATTATGCCGCGCGGATTTAATAGAAGATGCGAAGCAGTCGTCATTGGCCAAGGATTTGCAAGAAAGAGCTACGGACGGCCTGGCTCTCAGAAATATAGCCAATAAAAGGAGATTTATGAATATTATTTTGTGTCTGCCGCTGCTGTTTAATCCCAGTGCTGAATATTTGTACACTACGCTATTTAAACCGATAATCGGAAATGTTACTGTTGAATCTGTAATTTCTACTATTTAACCATTAAAGAATGGATTTAAAAGCCTTACCTATTTGTTTATATAAAAATGGATATGTAAATTCATTTCTGGAATTATTGGAACATTTAATGAATTTGTAAGTATCCGTCAGTGAAAAAAAAAATTAGTACCTAATAAATAGGTGATTAATCGTCAGCTTAATAACAAATTCCTTTTTTACTAGACTAACGAATGTTAGTCTAGTAAAAAAGGAGTAGAATATTAGAATGTTGTACTCCATCAGCCACATCGATATGTCAGGTTAACGAAATTGAAATAAGACTGAAAACGGGAACATTTAAAAAACCAACCAAACCCAAAATTTGTTTTAAGATTTAAAATAGGGGCAAAAACCAAGGCAGATAGATTAAAAATACACTATCTCATTTTCGTTTAAAAAAATCATTTTAACATGAATAGAAACAAAAGAATCATGAGACATTAAATTTTTTTCTTTTACACTGGATGTTTGCGCCAGTTTGAATTTATTTTGTTTTATTTGCATTTTTATATACTCGGTAAAACGATCGCACAACACCGCTTTAGAATCGGTTTTTGGGGAAAAACGAACTTCGGTGAGTTTCTTTCCCTTCGGCCTTCCCTCCCTCTATTTTCCTTTATTCACCGAGAGTTTAGTGTATACGATCGAGGACAGTCCGAGCAAGTTAAAATTAAATTTAATTGCGACAAGTTGTCTAAAGGTCCAGAACATCTAATAATAAAAGAATAAATAATGTTGTACATATACGGTGTGTTTCAATTTGACCTGAAAACCACCATTCAATACAAGTTGGCTTGTTCAATACAGGTTGGATTGAATAGTTAATAAGTTAATTATATTCAAACAACCAGCTCTCAACAAACCCCTGACTAACAAGCTCGGATGACGGGTACCTCTGTTTGATTGGTCTGACGGATAAAGCTAGCTTGTCTTCAAGATCATAGGGGCAACCCTGCGAAGTCAGCTTGTTCTTTGAACTCTCGACTTCCTTTTTGGCTTCCAAAAAGTACCAGCCGTGCCAGTAGAGTGTGCGATGTGTACGAGTATTGTGTTGTTATATAGTCGACAAATCAATGAAGTTTTGAGTGCGTTGTAAAAACGAGTGTTATTTATTAAGGGCTCGCCGTCTATAAACAACGCACTACGTTATTGCCAGTAGGCCGTGATACCATGATGTGATGTGTAACTTTCGACACATTAGAAAGTAACTTAAAATAGTTAATAAAGAGATGGGATACCTTTTACGCAACTTCTGGATTCCTCCTGGTTTTTGCTGAGTGGAAATTGCTTCAAATGTCGAATCTATCCTAAAGAAACTGCCATCTGAAACATCCAATGAATTTCGATTTGAAACCGCAAAAATCCTTAAAAAATCAAAACCTCCAAAATCCAATATTGCAAAGCCTGAACGCATCGCCCTCGTCATGGACACAAATGAATATCAGGAAAAGATTCAAGATATTGTTACAGACGGATCATATCGTCAACTTAAAAAAGATCCTACGTCATCTATGGATCGCAACCATAAATCTGTTATTAAGGCTTCTTCTCTATCAGACTCCGTGAAAAAATCTGTTACCAATCATGACTCTAAAATTCCTCGTCTCTACGGACTTCCAAAGATTCACAAACCACGACCTATTGTCAGCACCTAGCAAAATATCTAGCTTCCTTATTAAAACCCCTTACCAAAGTTCCTACTCTTGAAACTCTCGACATCATTTCAGATAAATTAAAATCTGAGAATTTGAAACCAAAACTTCTCGCCTTAATTGAAAAATGCTTATCGGGAACATATTTTTCTTATAACGGTCAAATTTTTGAACAAACTTCGGGAACAGCTATGGGTTCTCCATTATCACCAGTCATGGCGACTATATTTATGGAAGCCTTTGACAAAAAAGCCTAGTAGATTTTCTTAGACATTTAAACTCTATACACCCTAACATACGTTTTACCATTGAGTTGGAAACTAATAATAAACCTTCCATTCTTAGATATTCTTATCAATAGAAAGTCAGACCTAACATTGGGTCATTGTGTTTACAGAAAACCTACGCATACAGACCGATATGCATGGTCACATCACCATCCGGCCCAAAAATCATCGGTTATCAGCCTTATCAACTCTCTTGTTTACAGAGCCGTAAAACTCAGCCCGAGTCACTGAAAACAAAATTAAAACACCTTACCTCTGCTCTTCTCTCTAATAATTTCAACATTAAAGATATTAAGCGTTCCATAAAAAAAATATACTTCACCACAACTTTTCAATAGCAATGAGACCGAAAGCAATCCTACACTTGCCACTGTGGTCCTTCCTTACATTCAAAACATCACTGACCACATATCAAAAGTTCTAAAGAAGTATAACGTCAAAACCAGGTTTACGACTTGTCCAAAAATCCCTCAACATCATCGGTCCGTCAAGGACAAAATTCTATTTGAGATGGAGAGACCGGACGAAAAATATCAACTAGGCACAAAGAACATGAAAGAGCCTTACAACTAAGACAAATAAACGATCAGCAGTTGCCGAACACGCTCATGAAGTCGGACATAAAATTTTATTCGATAAAACTAAAATTCTTGCATGTAATCAGTTCTTCTACCAACAAAAAATCCCAGAGTCTATAGAAATCTATCAACAACCTTAACCTTAATAATCTTAACTGCGACTCAGGTCGACTGTCACCAATTGGGGATCAGTCATCCGAGACGGTGTTTATGCCCCTATTTAGCTCCGCCACCCTATATACCCAATATATAAGCAGGTACAGAGTAACATACGAGCCAGTTTCAGTCAAGCTCAGAAGAAGTCAACAGAATGATTGGCGAAACGTCAGCAAAAACCGACACAGGAGGAATCCAGAAGTTGTGTAAAAAGTATTACAGTGGCCTGTGGTACTTTCAGATGGGACATTTTAGAAATCTACAAATATTATAGGCGGTTTATTGAATTTTCTTTTTCAGATATTTCGATCGTTTAAATGTTTGTGAGCTATTTGTGGCTAAATCTTAATTAAAATGTCTTTTTTTTCTAGCTTTTTGGTTATAGTACGTACTTATTACCTTTTTTTTAATCGAGAACCACCCGTTCATTAAGTTATATTAAACAGTTTGGTCATGGGTACTACCAAAGAATGAGATATGTGTAACGCTATCTGGTAAATTTCCCAATATAAAGTTGAGAAAAATGTGGGATTATTTTATAGGTTTCAAAATACCGCAAACAATTTCTATTATAATAAAGTTATCTAAAGTTAACCTTGGCTTATTTTAATATTTTATTAATCGGGTATTGCCATGTCATAAATATTGATTCAAAGCAATATGACATGACAATGTTATATTGTATTCCTAAACAAATACAATGAGGGACGAGTAAAGTTAGTTTCACAATTTCAATTATAGCGAAGATGTCCAACATTAATCCTGCAAATTTAAATCATCTCAGTTTATAAGAAATATAGTGTCTTTTAAAATCAGCACTTTCATATAATTCGATATGTTTATTAATAATTGAAGTTAATTTTTATTTGGGCACATTCTTGCTTCTATAGCTGTACCAGATGCTAATAAAAATGGCAGTTATTTAGGACTTTTTGAAGTTTTTGTTACAAGTGTGGAAAGTCAACCTCAAAATCCAAACAACCAAAGCCTTGTTCGGCAAGTGGTTGGGGAAGTTTGGTCTAGGTGAACATAATGAGGGAGACGAGTAGCTAATTCAGGTTTGCTTAGTTTAATTCAGTTTGCGATTGTAAACTCTTAACACTGCAAAATATGTTTATACAAGACAATGTTACGAATCCCATGGACGGGCAGAAGAACAATTATTTTCATCTTAAACGAGACACACACCATGGATAAGTGAAGAAAAGGCGCCAGAGATCACTAGTCCGTTATACTGAACTTTTGAGGTTTGAGAGAAACCAACAGGTTCTGAGATACATAGAGGGCAAAAAAGAAAGAAAAACTCCTGAATATCTAAGGGTGCGAATATGGCATATGACACAAAAATGTCGCATCTGCCTAGTATTAAATGTATTAAATGTATGCTATTATTTATTTCCTATCTCGATTGCCTTTCCTTTCTCTTTCTCAACAATTAAAAAACAATAAATGAAGCCAACTTTTATGGTTCCGTGACGTCTTATATCTAGTTTACTTATTGTTAAACTCTACCATTATTCATCTTGAAAAGGCGTTTTAAAAATAGCGCACGCGCACCTTGTTGTTTTTGGCTAGTTAATTTTGGTGTCCAAGATTATTTTCTTTTATTTATTTCCGAAATTTGTTATATTTTCCTACAAAACGTAAAGTTGTATTTTTAGTTTCCTAATCTGAAAACAAAAAGTAGGCGGCGTTAATTTTATTTGCAAAAATGTTGGTGACGAAGCGGTACGCTACTGGGGTTGACTTGGGGCTTAGAAAGCTTGTTATTACTTCAAAGAACAACGCCAAATTTTGAACAGGAACAGGATAATCGGGAAAATATTTTTTTACATGCTAATTTAACACCCTGTATTTGGAAAACCAAACATTTATAAAAACCTTTGCGCTTATAATGGGAAGAGGCATGAGCTTTTAAATTTAATACGGTTTGAATAACAGCCTGTATTTACTTGTAATAGTTTTGGTAGTTTTAGTTAACAGTGAAACCTACATTTACATTAACGTTGTTCAAACTGGTTAATTTCTGCAAAAAGCATGAATTGAGGCGTAAAATTGTCAAACTAGATTCCTTTTGCAAGTGTAAAATATGGTGTTCTATTTGATTTGAATATTAATTTCAAACTTCGGCTGTATCGCTTACTCAACAAACAAATAGTTGGCAATAACTCATCAGTTACTAATCAGTTAATCCAATGTGATGCACCACATTTTATCGAAAGGTACAAACATGTGTTTTTTCCTGATAAAACAGCAGTTCAAGGAATTAGCCCATTCGCCGTATAATAGGTACTTAAACAAGAACATTTTCAAACCAAAAAATATTGTTCCTGTTTTCGTTTAGTTTATTTTGCGTCAGAAGATAAGAATTTTAGAATGTGTACAATGATTATTAAAAATGGTGATACCGCCCCGATTATCAGATTATAGGATTATGCTGGAATTATGGAATTAAAACAATAAAAATCAACTCCCCCTCACACTGTATTAAAGGGAGGAAACGTTTGTGCGAAATAAAAAACTGCATTATAAATATCGACCATTCACTCATTCCTCAACAAGGGATTAAGATGCAGTGTGGTAATAATAAGATTCGATAAATAGAAAAATTAAGTGGACGATAAGATAAAATTGATTGTCGTATTAGACGATCAATCGCCGAAGTAACTGCTTTGCTTAGGTTCATTAAACATCTGATTAAGGGAACGATGAAGTTTAAAGCGCTGATTATTTTATCTTTTTGTTTCGTTCACATTTCTTGCCAAAATGTGAATTTGACCGAATTAATCGGAATGGTGCAAGAGAATCTTGAAGCTGCCCAAGAATATGTACTACCAACAGATAACCGGGATTTGGTTAATGTGAGTGACGCAACATTATATGGTAAGACTAACCAAAATAACAGCTAGAGTATAGAAAATTAACACAAATTCTGATGGATTATTTTGTATTTTTAATTTGCAAATATGCAGAATGTTAAATATGAATAAGGAGTCTAGATGCTCATACAACATACAAATTTGCAACATACAAATTTGCAATAGATTTGACGAACTGTTATAAATAACCATTAACTTGTTTTTCCTCTGTATATACATAATATGAATGCACAATTTCCACAAAAATATTTATTAATGTAGCGAAAATTTCCTACTGTAAAAAAAATGTTATAACACAACAAATTTGTTTTCCAATTATTCAAGCTGAACTTTTAACTGGATTTTTTTAATTTTCATTTCGTCCATGACATCTTCCTCCATGACTTTCCAAGAAAAAACCTTGTTTTTTTCAACTAAAATATGTTTTTCCAATGATAAATAGCTTACGGTTTATCAATTAGGCAGACCTTGGGCAAATTCGTACCATTTGTACCATGTACTATCGAAACCAGACAACTTATATAGACGCATAGCACATAAAATACATTTTAATTAGTTAGTTTAGTTTCATTCATTACTTCTGAAACGTATCCGCAGATACACAACTTATTGTTTTGTTGACCAAAGTAGTCGAGTAATATTGTTATTCTAGAATACCTTACACTACTATAATAATACCCTTCAAATTGATTTTAAGCATAAAATGAATCTTCTTTAAAAAAGTTACAGAAACTACCATATATTATAGGTAACTTCTAAAATTAAATATCAAATTCAATCGATTTACAATATGGCAAATAGACAGGTATACGTGTCAACAACCATGTCGAACTCAATCACTATCTAGATCCTACTGAAAAACTTTTATTAAAAGTTGCCATGTCATATTTTAAGAGACCGGATTTTCAAAAGATAAAATTTGCTGATGCAAGCGTAGCGTATTTGCAAAGAAATCAGATAAGGGATGAAGAGTACGATACAATATTTCTAAATATATTTAAAAACACCCTCCTAGAGCGTTTGTTAATGCATTAATTAACAGAGCTAGCGCAATTAGAATGTTTTAACAGAAAAAAAGTGTTTAAACAAACCATTTCTGATCTAGATTCAGCAAAATCGACCTATTATAAAATAGCCTCGATTTTTGAGAAATATAGTTAAAATCGCATATCTTCTCTGAGATGCTTACAGGATAGGATAGGATAAAAATTGGGGTGCGTTTTTCAATCAAACACTGTGGCGTACTCAAACGTTTTTATGTAATTCTCAATCTGGTATCTGTGAAATTTTTGCAGCCATTTTTTTCTATATGTATAAGTAGGCCGTGTATATAGTTACCAATGGGAAATAAAGACAACAGCTTTTATCTTTATTGGATTTTACAGTGGCACATAGTGGTCAAACCACTACCTACTTTAGAAAACCCGCACGGGTGAAGTAAACGAAAAGTGTCACTCCACGCTTGCCAAAACAAACTCGTGACTAAAATGCCGCTTTTCCGTTTATCAAAGAACAGTCCAATTACTACTAGTCAGTACAGCGTGTCTCATTTTGCTTGCATTTATGGAATTACTTGGTTATTAGTAAAATTAGAATTTTACGGTTTACGCAAAAGCAGAGCTAGTTTTTTGTGCTACAGGACGATCGTTTTCAAGTACCACTTGTATCTCAGTTGTCTGACAACTCATGAAAGTACAAACGAACCTATTATCGAGAATACAGTAGCGGAGTCAATTTCTTTACTAACTTGCTGTTTTTGGAATGTTGATTAACGAAACGAACAAACATGTTTTTTTTAATGCACTACTATATGTATTTTTCAAAAAAATAAAATTTTTCAAACTTTTATAATTGGCATTCAAAACTTTTATCCATTTATCAAAATAAATAAGAACTAAAAGTTCAGATTTTCACGAAATTATATATTTTGACATGACAATTGTCTCGACAATACTATGGCTTTATCAAATGTTTTAAAATACCAAATAGCCAAGAAACCAATTTCAGCTTCTTTCAAAAATTGAACTGAGGTGCCTTTTACTTGATGAAAATCCATTTATCAAAATAAATAAGAACTAAAAGTTCAGATTTTCACGAAATTATATATTTTGACATGACAATTGTTTCGACGCCGTGTCTCTATCAAATGTCTTTTTAAAATACCAAATAGGCAAGAAACCAATTTCAGCTTCTTTCAAAAATTGAACTGAGGTGGCTTTTACTTGATGAAAATCCATTTATCAAAATAAATAAGAACTAAAAGTTCAGATTTTCACGAAATTATATATTATGACATGACAACTGTTTCGACAACACCGTGTCTTTATCAAATGTCTTTTAAAATACCAAATAGCCAAGAAACCAATTTCAGCTTCTTTCAAAAATTGAACTGAGGTGGCTTTTACTTGATGAAAATCGATTTATCAAAACAAATAAGAACTAAAAGTTCAAATTTTCACGAAATTATATATTTTGACATGACAATTATTTCGACAGCGCCGTGTCTTTATCAAATCGTTATTGTTATTATGTTTGTCATGCTTGACTTCTTCCATACATTGTAATTCTAATATATCTCCCGAAAGTGACGAAAATTTGACACCCCGTACATGTTATGTGCAAGCTTGATCCTTGATCATCGACGAAAAGAACTGAACCGATACTATAACATACAGCAAACACTAGTCAGCATTCCTTTTCTTTATTCTAGATTATGGCGAATTTAACTACATAGTAGTCGGTGCTGGATCAGCTGGAGCAGTTTTAGCAAATCGACTGTCAGAAGTGCCCAATAACCATGTTTTGCTACTGGAAGCCGGAGGAGAACAAACAGAATTTACCGATATTTTAGGATTAAGCCCTAATTTGTATTTTTCGGATATGAACTGGGGTTACAATACGACCAGACAAGAAAATGCGTGTTTGGGTAATTTGGAATACATTTGAAAATAATAGAAAAGCATTTGTCTTGAGTGTTTGGCTGTATTAAAAATTTACTGTGCGAATGGTGATTTTATAAAAAATAACAACAGTAAATCGACAATTAACAACACTCTGAACTTAACCGTTAGTTGATTGGTTTAATTTAAGGAAAGAAACGAAACATTTAGGCAGGCACACGGAATTAAATTTTTAAGTGATAATTGCCAATTAACATTTATTAGAAAACTGCTGCTATCTTCAACATTTCAATGCTGCTGATTTTTATGAAGTGGTGTTATATTTCTATTTGTTGACTTTGTTTTAGTTTGTAATCGTTAGTTCTTACTTTTTTAGAAACCCACCTTAAGCGATGCGATCCCATAAATACTAATAGCAGGTTCATTGTGACAATGCAATTTTTATTTTGGTGGATACGCATTTTTTTAGCTTCTAACATTTTTATAAGAACATATCTTAAGTCTTAAGTAAGTAAATAAGAGTAGCTTAATCGCACACTGTGTACACGTTCACTAATTCTTTGAGATTTAAAAAAAATCTGCACAAGTTAAGTTTTTATAATCATATATCAGGGATGGTTGATCAACGGTGCTTCTATCCAAGAGGAAAAGTCGTTGGAGGCTGCAGTACAATTAACGCTGGAATGTACGTTAGGGGAAGCCCCTTAGATTTTGACCGATGGGAGACGGAATTGGGAAATAAGGGCTGGTCGTATAATTCTGTTCTACCCTACTTCCTAAAATCCGAAAACGCCGTTTTTGATGCCCGCGAAAAAAAGTTTCATGGAGAAGGCGGTTATCTACACGTCGATGTTCCATCCGGAACACCAGGACTAGTAAGTCGATCGATTTCAAGCATAAATCAATTAATATTTGTTATTTAGGAAACGGTAATTTTCGATGGATTCGAAGAGCTCGGTCAAAAACGAATCGAAGATTACAACGGCGAAGAACAAGTTGGTATTAGTCGGGTTCAATTCACCTTGAATGAAAATAAGCGTGATAGTACAGGAAGAGCATTTCTGGACAATGTTAGAAACCGTTCAAATCTCCACGTGAGCACCAACAGTTACGCGGTTAAAGTGATGATTACCAAAGAAACAAAAACCGCGTACGGAGTAGTTTTTATAAAAGACAACAAACAGTACATAGCGAGAGCAAAGAATGAAGTGATTTTATCAGGCGGCGCAATAAACTCTCCACAGCTTCTGATGCTCTCTGGCATCGGACCAAAACAACATCTGGAAAGTTTAGGAATCGAGGTTATAGAAGACTTGCCCGTCGGTCAAAATTTAGAGGACCACATGATATATACGGGTTTGTTTTATAGGTAAAAAATAAATTTTAACGAAGGTCACTGAGCTCATAATATGATGTGTTCTAGAACAAATCACACCTTCTACAACAACACTTTAGAAGAGCTGTTGCAGCTCTATATGGATGATAAACGGCCTTACATTGCTGGATTTTCATGTGAATTTGTGACGTTTGTAAATTTCCAAAACAATACAAAAGACAGACCGAATGTCCAAATTTTAGTAAGCTCGCCCCCTAATCTAAACAACAACGCCGGATGGGTCTTCAAGTAAGCAACTTTTCGGAGAGAAGTAAAATATTTAACATTAAGCAATGGTATAAATTAATATACAATAAGAGGGATAATGCCTAGTCAAATACTTCGATATTTACAGCAGTATGGCAGCAAAACAGCAAAACTTGCGGAACGTTTCGAGCTATAATCATTAATTTAATGGAGTAAATTATCCTTACTCACAGAGATCAATAGTAGTTAGTTGCATGTGAGGCATAAAGGCTACATACGCATATTAAAAAAGTAAATATCAATTCAACTGTTCCAACAAGTTTTAAAACAGAAACACCGAAAACGTCGTTTTGTCATGTTGATATTTTGTTCTCCTAACTGTTATTATATATGATAACTTTTTCAATTTTTTATATAATTTTGAATAACTTAGTATGTGATTTAGCACTTTAAGGATTTCTGATGAACAACTAAATTTCTGCAAACATGTTTAACCAGAGAGAAGAAATGTATTAATTAAAAACTCAACTACACTTGTATCTAGTTTATATTGTTTAATTAAGCTTAATTAAAAAATAAGAAGATATATACAAACAAGACGAAAGTTATTTTACCAGATCTAAGAAATGTGTCATTGCAACCTTTGCTTAACTAATACCTATATCCTAAAGTGACAGTTTTTTAAACCTTTGTCATCCCAGATTTAAACAAATAATACAATGTCATTAATCCAAATTTATTTAATAAGAGCTGATCAGCGGATTATTTGTGCAAATTACTTAATTAATCAGAGTAATCAAATAATTTCCATTTCAGATTTAATGAGGCATACACAGCAGCTCACCAATCTGATCCTCTGCATGACATTTGGTTTACGCCGCTCATATTGCATCCGAAATCGAAAGGATCGGTGACGTTGCAATCAAACAGTCCCTTAGACATGCCGATAATCGAAACCAACTATCTTTCTGATCCAGACGACCATGACATAGAAACCCTATATAATGCTACTCAGTTTATTTTGAGATTAAATGAAACCAAAGCATTTAGAGATTTCGAAGCTACTTTTATGCATCCTCCCATGCCCACTTGCGATCCAGTGTACGACAGATATTCTAAAGATTGGTGGTATTGCTCCATAAGAACAATCGCTTCAACGGTAAGTTGCGGCAGTTGCATAAAACTTTATTAGCTGTTGGGTGGTATAGAACTATTTTAATAATTTCAAATAATTTCAGCTCTACCATCCCATAGCGACGACACGAATGGGAAACTCCACGGAAAATTCAGTGGTGGATTCAGAACTAAGAGTTCACGGAATCAATGGTTTAAGGGTCATAGATGCCGGAGTTATTCCAGAACACCTTTCAGGTCTTCCAAATGCGGCGATTATCATGGTCGGCGAAAAAGGAGCCGATTTAGTTTTGAGCGCAAAATCAAGATCTTCAGGTTTTAATGGTAATTTAATCACGTGCTTAATTGCTGTTTATATATTCTTTCTTCTCGGGAAATAGCAGACAATATCGAAGGTCTTTTATGGCTGATTTTTTTAAATTGTACTCATAAAACTTAACTCACTAAATAGTATAATGAAGTCTCGCACAGGAACGGTATTCTTTTCAAATGACTCCACTTTGATAAAGTAATCTCAAATATAAAATCTGATATATCTAATAATTTTTGTTAACCAAGGGGAAGTTTAAATCATATGGCGATATTTGCTATTTAATACTTCTCCCTCGCCTCTGTTATTTAATTTGTCTTTGTCACCCAATTCTTTTCTATGCGATGAAAACGATTGTTGTAAAATATGATTAAATATAATTGAACTTGGTTGGAAAAATTTTAGGCAATGTTTGAAAACTGGTGCTTGAAAATTGTTAAGCATTAATAAAAAAACGGCAAACACAAAATCCCTTAACCTCTTCCTTATGTGCTACCCCCATATTAGATAATACACAATCCTTAAATACGGTAAAATTGTTACACCTCGGGCGGCAATGATATATTTGTATAGCATTGAACAATTTTCAGTGTATGCACATAAATTGCACACACTAACTTGCAATTTTTCCCATTTTTATAACAGCAATATCCACATACTTAAGACGCACATACGGTGGGCACTGTGAACGCCAATGTATTTTATTGATTAAACTGGTGCATGTTTAAATATCTATCCTCAACATTTTTTTATGTTTGTGCCGAAATTACACATTTGTTATCAAAATAGACGCGACATCTGTCAATCTTAACTGAACATACTTGAGTTAGTTAATGTGACATCTGACGTCAAATTGATGTCAAAGAAAGAAATGTATAGTTAATATTTATCATTTATTCCTTTTTTTGCGATAATTTCGCTGATTTGTGGAAGGTTGGAATAGGTCAACAGAAATTGGTACGGAAAAAGCAAATGTTAAATAATATAAAATGTTTTGGTTGTTTTGGTAAGTTTTGCTAGGTTCAGTCTATTCTTTATATATCCTTTATTACAAATGCTTTTAAAGGAAACTTAGTACAAGTCTAAATGGAAGTTGATCATGTAGGTTTCGTCATAACTCCCAGTTACAGGTTCAGGACGATTATTCGAACGTTTGCTTGAAGGTAGACACTGATTCAGTAAAAATACTAAAAGGATTTCGAACTTCCATTGTCTTTATTTATAACTTACACAACGTTTCGGACAGTTGTATCACTACCCATTATCAAGTGTAAACTAAACTTAATTCTAAGGCTACAAGGTTTATATACTAGGCGACGCCGCTCATCCATGATGGAGTCGGGTGTAGTCAAGCGTGAAGTTGTTCAACTAGCATTGGTGCGCCTTTTTAAAGGTTGCCAAATTGTTGGTATATCCACGCTCGGATTGCTGAAGATGTTTTCATTGTTTCTAATGAAAACTGCTTCTTTAAATTTGCGCTTTCTCCAATACCGCTCTCCGTGAACAACTCGTGCTCTGGACCATTGGTTGTTGTGTTGTTTGGTCCACACATGTTCTGCGATGCCTGATTTTTGCGGTTCACCCTTCATTGTATGTTTCTTATGTTCTTCAACTCTTATTTTTAGAGGTCGTTCGGTTTCGCCAATATATGACTCTCTGGATTCACAGGGTATCTGGTAGACACACTCTTTCTCTTGAGTGGACATTTCAGGCTTTGGTTTTGTGAGTACACTTCCTAATGTTGATCCAGATTTAAATACAGTTTTATATTGTTTAGCTATTCGCCTAACCTTTCAAATCGTCCAGCCACTTGTAGGTAAAACTTCTTCGTTTTTAAAAAACTCCGGGCACTTGGTAGTGTCGTGAAACGTGAAACTAGATCCTTCACACAAGTTTATTAGCTTTGACGTTGAAAGTCTATATACCAACGTGCCCTTGGAGGAATCGTCAAGTATTGTCGAGGCTAGACTAAGGAATGATACAACGCTATCAGAGAGAACGTCGCTGGCACTTGAGGGAGTGTTGGACCTTCTGAGGTGCTGTCTGCATAATTCTTACTTTCAAGTCAAAGATAAGTTTTACGCGCAAGATGATGGCCTGCCGATGGGTTCTTCTCTCTCTCCAGTGATAGCGAACATTTACATGGAGTGGTTCGAAACTCATGCCATAAACACTGCAACTATTAACTAAACTATTAAACCTAAGATCTAGCTTCGATATGTTGACGATACCTTCATTATCTGGACTGGAACCGATAGACAGCTAGACTCTTCTCTGAACCATCTTAATTCTTTGCGAATATCAATTAAATTTACTATTGAGAAAGAAAAGAACGGCTGTCTACGTTTCTAGACGTCCTAGTAAGTAGAAATAATGGTTCTATTAACACGTCTGTATATAGGAAACCTACCCACACATGACAGTATCTAAATTTTGAGTCTAACCATTCTGAAGCAACCAAACTAGGAATAATTAAAACAATGTGCAAAAGAACAATCACAATATCTAGCGACCAATTGCCGAATTGAATAATATTAAAAAGGATTTGCTTCGGAACGGTTACTCCGAAAAATCTATAAACAAAATAATAACAAATTGTGAGCGGGAAACAACACCGGAACCATGTGAGGTAGATACTCTTCCTCTCTTGACGATCCCATACGTGAAAGGAATATCAGCAAAGATTAAGCGAATAGCTAAACAATATCAAGTTAAAATTGTATTTAAATCTGGATCAACATTAAGAAGTGTACTCACAAAAACAAAGCCTGAAACGTCGATTCCAGAGAAAGAGTGTATCTACCAGATACGCTGTAAATGCGTAACATACAATGAAGGGTGAAACGCAAAAATCAGGCATCGCAGAACATGTGTGGACCAAACAACACAACATCCAATGGTCCAGAGCGCGGGTTGTTAACGGAGAGCGGCACTGGGGAAAGCGCAAATTTAAAGAAGCAGTTTTCATTAGAAACAATCAAAACATCTTCAGCAATCCAAGCGTGGATATACCAACAATTAGACAACCTCTAATAAGGCGCACCAATGCTGGCGTTCTAGTTGAACAACTTCACGCTTGACTACACCCGACTCCATCGTGGATGAGCGGCGTCGCCTAGTATATAAACCTTGTCGCCTTAGAATTAAGTTTAGTTTACACTTGATAACGAGTAGTGATACAACTGTCCGAAACGTTGTGTAAGACAATGGAAGTTCGACATCCTTTTAGTATTTCTTCAGGCAGATTATATCGTGCACAAGCTCTGCAGTTTCGACTATTTTTATTATTACACTTATTGCATTCCATTTGTTTATCAAAAATTGCAAAAGACACGACACAAAAATATGGCGAACAATCACAACCACCGAAATGATAACCCAAACTCAAATTTGAACTAAACACTGTTCCGATCTTCTGTCTGATTCATTTCGAGGCCTTGCCATAGTAATCCTAAAATAAAACATAGTGAGCTGTCTAAGGAACAAACGACGAAAGATCTGCTTGAAATAGAAAATAAATAATAAATAAATCTGGGCTCTATCTGGGACATATTTGGCCCCGCCATAAAACCCGTTAAAAAGAGAAGAAGAAACAACTAATAAATAAGTACGTTAAAAAAATGAAAGAGAATTCTTCTCGTAAACAAAAAAGCATATACAAAACCAAACTTATTTTTATTTTACGAGAGATCAAATTCCCAAGATCCAAGGGTCATAAAATTTCAACAAGTTGAACTTAAAACTTTAACATTTTATCTTCGTCTCACGGTCTGCCAAGCGATAAAAAGCCGAAAACCCATCAACTAAAAATGTACGTACTTAATCAAAAATGACAGCTGAAGCGACTTCTTGCTCTAATTCTCATGAAAACCCACATTTAAGAAAACTACGTAACCAAACGCTTTGCTTTTAAAGTTTGAAAGAAATTTTATGATCACCGGAAGCATTTTCTATCAGAGATTAAAAAATACCTCTATGTTCACCTATAATGACACATCCATTACGTCTATCCTTTACGGAAGCTCCACACAAACACCTTGTTTAAATCACCACATCGCAAAGCTCAGCTGCTTTCATTGGGTTTCCTTTCGAAAGTTACCTTCAAGTTTTATTGCACTGTTTACCATGATCAGCAATTTTTGAACGTATTTTCTTCCAATGTTGCGTGCATTTGTATATTGACTGTCTAGACATAAATCTTCAATAAAAATTCATTACAAGCACATTTTTTCGTCGATAAGCAGATAAAATGGATAACGATCACCTTTAACGACTTTCTGAATAAAATTCTCACTAAACGCGCTTTTAATTTGCTAGCCGACCTATGCTTATACCTATAGCTATTGATAATTTGCAAAAAAATACTTTGGTGTTAAAATTGACCTTGACCGATAATATTTGCTTTTAAATTTTAAAAACGTTATACAATGTAACAAATAATTCCAAGTTTTCTTACATTCTCTGTCCGATTAGAGAGCTGTTACTGAGTTGGTGGGTGGTTTTAGCAATTCGTCATATATAATTCTAAAACGACAAAAGAATGACATTTTAGAATGTTTTAAAACAAAACTTTTTGAAGCAGATCTCAACACTGAAGTCGGTTCACACCGCCCAGCTAATATTTTGATTTTAATGATTATCGCAGAAATAAGATTGAGTAATAACATTTTTCTGAAACTGCCCTTATAAAGTTTGCGCTTACTTCATTAAACCTGATCAGATTTGCTCCGCAAGTAACACTTTGAAACAATGTAATGTGTGTTCTATTCATTTGCCCGAGGTATAATGCTCTCCGTACCGTGGAGTTTTCCAATATCAATTAGCGCTTTAAAAAAATTGTACTCACGTGCGTCAAAAGGTCTTATGTTATTATAAATATAATAAAGATCAGCGCCTTTATATGAAACAAGGGTGTATCTGTGTATTTGAAATCATATCTTGATAGATCGCTATTAGTTTATTATTTTGATTTTTTTAATCTCATATAATGTCTGATACGGATTTCTTGTTGCAGAAATGTAATTTCTGATAAACAATAAATAATAAGAAAACAATAATAATAACATTCTCTGTTAATAAGATTAACTGAGATTAATTAAGTTAATAAGAATAAAGTAATCATAAACGGTATAAAACTTACCTACTTGTCAAAGAAAAATGCCAAAGACAAGCAGCATAGCATAGTAAAACGAAAATCGGTATAATTAAGAATTTTTTAAAAGTTCATGAAAATACATTCTTGAAAGCTTTTTTACAGCTACTGCGTCTTAAGTATCTAAATAATAAACAATAATTTGAAAATAACATAATTTTAAATCCATTGTTAATTATTAATTTTTCATAATCTATTTTCCTAATGATTTACAATTATTGAACGAATAGATATGTCTATACAATAACATTTACTTTTCGTGAAACACTTGGGGCCTACACAACACACGCACTACAGAGATGCGACTTTTCCATAATGTTAATATTCCATATTATTAGCAGCATATTCGAATTAAATGTAAAATGGATAAGTAGGTTTTATAAAACAATATTTGTCTTCCTGCGTGTTCTGCACAAATAAAATTAAATGTACATTTACATTGTAACATTTGACATCGCTACCGCATCCAACCACATAACGTCTAAAAACTAAATTATGATACTATTCTATGCCTTATTTCGCTATTGTCTCCGATAAAATCGCTAACAACTTTTATGACTAGTAGATAATCTAAAGTCTCGTTTAGATCAGGTAATAAATATATACTTTATGGATTAAGACTTTATTGGCAATATTGACCATATCAAGCTTGTGGAGATGGTTGAAGTTCACATAAAGTCATAATCATAATTCATAATAATAATAATAATAATACTTCAACACCCGTCGATCAGAATTCCATGAAACCCTGCCAACCCCTGTACCATTTTTATCTTGCTACATTTTTGGCACTTTCATATTAATCCAAATCTCACCAAAACAAATAAATATATATATTTATACTTTTTCTGGTCTTCCTGGAATTTTTTTTGAGAGGTTCCACCTGACTTGCTAGCTTGCTTTGCTGCAGTAAATAAAATACACTTCTTTTCAATTTCAGTCATTCTGCAACATTTTCTTGTATAATGAAATTAGTATATATTTAAAACATTTAAATCGATGATTTTTTCATTCACTGATAATGAAGAATTATTTTCGAATGTTTTCATTGAAATGAATATCGTCGCCATATCGATATTACTGTCGACACTAATATATAGATTAAAAAACAATATTTAAATTTTTAATACTTTAATTCATTACCCGTCTGAAATATTGCCCAATTCATTACGGTTTTACATCGAATCTCCGGTTTTATCAATAAACAGAATTTAGAAGTTGGTGTTGTTTTTGGCCGAGAACTCGAACTGCAACAAAGTTGGGGACGAAAATTTTGACACACGACGTTATCCGTCTATCTCCCTCCTAGCTCTCCATAGTTTGATCAACAAATTCTTGACGTTGAGATATACGTTGACAAGGTTTCTTTTTAAAGACAATAAATAACGCCAAACAAATCTCGATTCGCGATTCCGTAGCATAAAACTGCAATAAACTGTTGTTTTTTTCCAGCGCAAGACTCAAAGGTGTTGAAGAACATACATAGGATTCGCAACAAATGGAGATTTATTTAGGTTCTGGACAACTGTAAAGAGCAGAAGTATTTCAATAAAGTTTCAATATTTTTCAACAAAAAAAAGCGATTACAATTCAGAAACAACGAATGGGAAAATAAATAAAAATTATGTTATATAAGTATTTGATTGTACCTACATTATAAATGATAAAAACGATCATATATTAAAAAACCTATTTGAAATACTATTTAAATAGTATAGTATAACACTATATGTTAAAAATTATCGCAAATGTTGATAAAAAAAACCTATTTGAAATACTATTTAAATAGTAAAGTATAACACTGTGACGTTTCTTGTTTCTCTTTACTTTTTATTATGTATTTTAAAATAGTTCGTTTAGTCTGATTTAATTGATGTGTAATTTATCATATTTTGAGTTTTTAAAACCACAAACATGTTAAAAAATGAATATAGCTCAGTTAGTCTTGATTCACTGGAAAATATTAAGGAAAAATACACCAATATCTTTTCCTTTAGTTATTCGTTCAATATTAGTTTGGGTCAACATTCAAATGACTAAACCGCCCAAAAATTACGTACTTAGTTGACCATCATAAAAAATAAATTCTAAAATTTATTGAAAAAGTAATTTAAAAAAATTAAATACCAGTAAAAAAACCTGCTCGAAGATGCAAATCATTATTTAATACATGGGACGACACAAAATAAACTTTGGAAACTACGAATTACCGTCTACGAAGACGCATTTCAACCACAGAAGACAAATATTGCTGCCCGGTTGCATTTGGGTAAACGCCCAGCGTAGAGAGAAATTAGAAATTAGACAAAATGACGACGTTTTTGTTTTGAGACTGTCTTTCCAGTTTTCCTGTTGACTTGTCAATTTTCCAACTGATATTTCGGGAAAAGACTAATTCCGTTGTTATACAAATATCACTAGGTTCCTTGTGTAAATAACCATTTTGTGCATTAACCCTCTGATGGTTAGATGAAACCACATTCGTTATAGATGTGAACCGAGTTTTGAACAGAATGCTGTTACGTCACTTCAAATATTGTGTTTTTTTGTGTGATTGGTGTACCACGTTTCAGTCAATTACTTCAAATATTGCAGAAGATAAATTTAAAAATACTAAAAAAAACTTTAACATAATGTACGGTAGCTTAGTAACAAAGCCTAATTGTAAGTAGATCTCTCGATTATAAAAAGACCTTTTTGTTTGCATATTACATAAAATATAAAAAAAAAGAAATATTGTAAGTTGTAAGCATTTTTTCCTAATTTCGTTGTTGTCTTGTCTATTACAGTAACCGTGTCAATATCACCCTAGATGCATAGCTTCCGATAAAGCAAATTATTAATCTTACCAGAATCGTACAACTTCGCGTATAATAAGCTCAAAATAAAAAAAGATGTTTTATTAGACTTATTATTTTATCTATTAACATTATAAAGGGTTACCAAAAATAATTGGTCTCATTATTAGTGTTAACAAAGCTTAGCTACTATTCGTCCGTCCAAATATGATAACGAGGTCTGCTAACACGACAAATATTTCCCGATTAATGTTTGGGACAAAAAGAGGTAAAAACATTGCTAATATCATAAGTTAAAAATGCAAAAACTAATCTAATCCACTAATAAGCTACAAATTTAAACACCATTAGTTTAACAATAATTAAATCAATACAAATTATAAAAGAAAGTGACTCACCAGTGCAACTACTATTTCTTTCAGCACCGCAGATGGTTCTTGCCTCGTTTCTTGTTTTTAACAAAATCACTAATCCACTCGAGAAAATACTATTTTCAAAAATATTGGCCAGTCAGAGTTTCACTATTGTGATTGCCTAGTCCTATCGAATAACATATCCAGTTTATTCCAAATGAATTGTATTTGATTTATGCTTATTTGTTATGTCTCCTCAAATAAATTATTTCACAAACTTATATTTGCAACCAACAAATAACCAAAATAAGCATCTAAATAAACGTTTCTCCATCGCTTCCTGGGCATACGCTTTGGCTTACTGCTATTCAATGGTGTTTGGTGAATGTTCGCTGTTTTAGCTTTATTTGAAAATGACATAGCGCAGCAATTATCGATTTGCAAATTCATAAAATTAAAATGTACTTCTTCACTGGCACCTTAACAGTAGTTTTAAACCTAGTTGCGTTTATTAATTCTGTTATTTAATTTAATTGGATATTTTTTAATAAGTAACGGAAGTTCGTTTAGCTTTATTCCTCACACAGATTTAAACCAACCGAAATTAACTGTTCCGTGAACTATGTAATTTCGAAAAGTCTGGATCACAAAAGTGCCTTCTATGTGTTTACCATTTTTTTATCATTATAATTTTGTCTCATTATGTGATAGTTTTGTTGTTATCGAATAAATGATCACTGTTCGTTTGTTAAAATTGTTAAAGGTGTGTGTTATCAGGGTACAGTGAGAAACTACCGACGTCTTTAGGCGATATTTGGGATGAATACATTATAAAATGATATCGGGTGAGTTGTAAAACTTACAGTTATAAGGATTAATTTGGAATCAGTATATAACGCCGTTTATTTTTATTTCTACTATACGGAATTAATAAAAGGAACAACAGCAGCAGTTTTATTATTTTATAATTTGTTAAATTGTAGTTTTTTCATTTATTTTCATTTATTGAGCAAAACTAGTGAGTAAAGTTTTTCAAATTTGTTGCATAATATACAATTATGGTAGTTAACTCATGCCTGTAATTATAATCTTGTGAAGTTTACTTGACTATATTTCCAAGGACTCAACAGAGTGAGTATTATGGCGATATAAATCATGAAAACTTCCTATTGTGGTTTCAAAATGAGGTATTAAAAAATTTGACTAGGCAATCGACAATTGCTTTGAATAGTGGTCTCTTATTACAGCAAGTGGCCCCACAAAATTCTAAATACTAGTAGGTATTACAAAAAATACGATACAAGAATAGTTAACAAGTAGAAATATAAAATTTATAGCTGTGATTTTTAAAGCTGAATTGCTGAGTATTGTTGCTTGGTAAATATAAGGAACTGATTTTATGATGCCATTTAATGTGTTAGTGATTGGCCATTTGGCTGAACAACGTTAGTCCATATTGCTTTTTTAACCCAATCGACAATTATTATAATAGCAATGTCGGGCGAGGTAATACTGCTGAAAATGCATATTTAAATATGTGAAATGAACCATGAAGCACTCTAACTCCATAAATTATAATATATTCCACATACCATAAAAGAGAACATTTATTTGTGACAAAAACTATTCTCCACTGTGAATAGTGTTAATGATACTGATTTGGATTCCTAATGAACATTGAAAACTTAAGCTTTTGTCTTTTGTTGATACCAATAGGCTGCTCAGTGCACTTTACCTTCGATAGTTTAAGAAAACCCTGTATTCCATGTACTATTAAAATTCCGTGCAAATCGATATTACTGCTAGTATTGAAATTCTAATTATTATGATATTATATGATATATGATGACAAACTGCTGTCCGGTCTTTGTTTTCGTATCTGGAATTTTAACTTACGAGGCAGTTTGAAGACATTAAACGCGTGTCATTTCGATTTTCATTAACTCTTCTCTGCGCCAAGCACCCATTACACTGATAATTAATGCAACTGAAACAAAATGTTTTAAGTAATCTTTCATTTTGATATCCCCCATTCCTTTATAAATAAGTATTTATCATCACGGATTTTGAAAGGTTTTGGAAATATGCAAGCATCACTTGTTTTGTTCTGCACATATCGAATTTTGAATTTAATAAACTGGATGTAGCTTCAGCGGAAGCTTTCTGCATTTCAGTCGGTGTTAAAGTATAATTTTCTTCGTTTTCGTTCCCCATTTTCGGGTTTTAGTTTTTGTAATTGCACGACAGTATTCAAAAATTGCAGTGTCAAAATGTCAATTTACTTTCCGACGAACCTACTCGAGTTCAATTGTAACCCGTCGACAATAGCAATAATAAATTTCCTGATGCAATGTATGAAAGTTTTCTGTATATTAGTTTTTGGTTACATATCCTGCGACTATATTTACTGCGTGAGTCAGAATTAACAAACATCAAAATACAAAACAAAATACATGAAATATTTGCCACAAATATGTTCTGATTGCTAGTAAATTTGGGCTATTTGATATAGGTAGCTTTTTTTTATCCGATTTTGAATGAAGAAAATATTGATTCGGCATGAGGATGGTGTCCAGATTCCAGGGAAGATCAAAAAATCATAATAAAAAATAAAAATTTATTATAAAATATTACAAACACTAATAATCTCGAACAGTCAAGATAATAAAATATTATAAATTGCTTACTAATGTTGAGGACGGGTCATCAGTTAAACTTTTAAAGTCTTGTTTCTCTGATTCGTTAGATGAGCTACCACCTTGAATCCCTGTTGCTTTCATATGTCTTCCAGTCACTTGCATATTCTGCAATTCTTTGGACTTTTTACTTCCTAATGGCGTAGAAGTTTTCTGTTTAGCGCTATCTACGCTCAGGCTACGTTGAATTGCTGATATATCTGAGACATCCTTTAAAAAGCTTGAAGGGCTAGGGCTTGCATCAGATTTTAAACTGCTTGAAGATATTTTACTAATTATTTGTTTATGCAAAAAGTCTTTTAAACTAACTTCACTTTCACCAGAAGCTCTAGATTTCCTTCTTCTTGAACTCATCTCTATAGAACTGGAACTCGAGCTAAGCGCTAAAGCTTCCTGAGTTTTATGTAAAACCGGTATTGCCCATTCCATATTGATACTTCTTAACATATCTTCCAAACTTTTTAGATCTTCACTGGAACTAGAAGAAATTCTGCTAGCGGAAGAACTGCATGTTTTATCAAAGCAAACCAAGGACGGACCAGAATCACATTTAGAGTTACTCCCTTCAATGCTTTTATTTTGTTTCATGGCATCGGATTGAACATTCACCTCAATTTCGTTAGGAATATTCAATCCTATAACTTTAGTTGTTGATTTGGCACTTTCAGACTCATCTTTTTTATGAAGGGCATTAAAGTCATCAGAAGGCATAATATTAGGAGATACCAGAGATATACGCGACTTCTCATATCTAGCCTGATCCTCAACAATGTTTTCCGTTTTGGATGCGCTAGGGCTCACTTTCGGACTTGGCACCTTAGTTGAGAGTTGACTATCAGCTTCTGCTATAGTTGATAATTCATGAGGAACCAACGAAATATTCCCATTAAATCTTTTGGCAGAAGTAAGACCTTTTGAAGGAGGTGGATGTCTACGGTTGCTTGTGGTTTCGTTTGAAGCAACATCAACCTGAGGTTGTAATATAGGCAGTTTTGGTATGTCCAGCAAAAAGGGAACAAATGATTGCTGCTTGTCTTCAATAGAATTGGATGATTCAGGTTCTGGTATAACCTTTTGATCATTTTCTTCTATAAGACGTCTAAGACGTTCTAGGAATTCTCGATCAGTAGAATCAGATACGTCAGTAGTTTTAGAGGCAGATTCATCGCGTCCTGCAACAAATTTTGTCAGTACTAAAAGTATGATGACATTACAAAGTTTCATCCTATCCTATAAATTTGATATGATGAGAAAATTATTAGCATAAATAAAAGAACCTGCGCATAAAATATATTTTTAGAACAGAACAGACTATGCATAACACGATTACGATTTTGTTTTGGCATGTTTTTGAAAAGACTACTTTTAGAAAAAAGTCCTGAACAAATATTTCCGAAAAAAAAAAAATTCTTACCAACTATTTTGCCATACTCCCGGGATTCAGACTTCATCTTCTGAAACGTTTTTAATTTTTCTGCCAGGCTGATATCAACTTCAAGTATTCTTCTTTTAAACTCTTCATCATCCATACTAACCGAAGAGCTTCTACTGCTCCCCTCTTTAGATCTTTCACCAGAATGGGGCAGCTCCAAGTATGCTGTCGAATAATCTCTTTCACTTTTAGAAGTAGCAACTTTTTCTGTTTCTGGTAACACTGCTTGTGGACTCTGGTGCATACTTATTCGTTCATTACGTATTTTTTCGATCATAGCAGCAAGATTAGCGATTCGTTTACTACAACTGTCTGTGACATCAGCATACTGACACAATAATGAATCCTTGGATTTTCTGGAACTACCGTTTGTATCTTTTTCTGGAATGTGAATGTTTTCCACTGTTTCACGCGTTTTGTTATCTTCATTCGACGTTAGAGAATTTGGTGGTATACCACTCTCATCATTGAAATAATTTATTTCCTTTGCTATACCTTCAGATTTGAGATTGATATATCTAATGATATCATGCAGTCGAGCCAGCGGATTATTTGATTCAATCTCAATCACACTTTGACTGGGTGTTTGAACATCGCTCGAAGAAATGTTCAATTCGTCCACGCTCAATTTAGACATACTAAGCAGTTTCCGCACATACATGATTAAGTCAGGCTGACTTGTTTGATCACGCGATGATGAGTAAGTTGGCTTGATGGACATATTTGTCTGTTGTGGCTTTCTCCGTAAATAATAAAAGGAATCTTTATTTAAATCTGTACTTCCTGTTGCCTTAGGCTTAGAAAAGTCTGGTGGGCTCAAATAAGAAGTACTCGACGTTGATATTGAGTTTTTGCTTAATTGTTCCTTCCAAGATTCAGACCTGGGTTTGACATCTTTTAACACTTGTGATTTGGACACCTTTTTTATCAAGTCTTTAGGCGATGGTCTTTTAAACGTTTCTGTTTCAGTGGAGACTGATTTGGTAACCACTTTCTTAGGACTACTTTTTCTAGTCCTTCCTGCAACTGAATCTACATTAATATCCTTTTTTTCTCCTGAGACAACTTCAACTTGCGGGTTTTCGTCATTATGAAGTTTAATAAGGATTTGACAAAGTTCCTCTGATGAACGTATATTTTCTTTATTACAATCGCAAGGTGTATGCAACTCCTTGCAAACAATTGGAGCATGTTGCAAAACTTCCTCATCAGCCCTTTTGGATTCAACTTTTTCTTTCGAAGCTTTTGGCGTCGTCTGGGTGCTAGTATTCTGCAAAATCAATACTCTCGGGCGCGATTTTTTGGCTTTGGTTGATCGTTGCTCTCTAATCTTGTGCTCTCCTCGACTTTCAGTAGAAGAACTGCTGTCACTATCTTCATGTCTTCTCTTCCGCTGAGATTTTTCTTTTTTCTTTCGCTTGGATTTTAAAATTTCGTCGCTTTCAGTAAAAGAGTTTAAATCGTCTATTAATGCGTTAATACTATCATCTTTTGGTAAGGTTCTGATTTCGTTAAGTAGTTGCTCTTTTTGTAATTTTAAACTTTCCAATAGTTGCTTTAGCTTCGTGTGCCTATCTTCCTGTTTCTGAGCGGTAAAATTTTTGATAATTTCATGAACTTCCTCCGTACTAAACATTTTAGCTCGCGCTTCACCATTATTCCATTTACCTAGGTTCAATGTACGTGAATCATTTGGTTCCAAAATTTCGAATGGCTGATTTGATGGAATTTTGGGATTTGTACTTGGAATTGTAATGATGGCAGGTTTTAAATTTGGAAGAGCTTTGGTATAAGCATTTTCCAATCGAAGTTGCTTTTTCTTTTCTTGCTCTATTAGTCGTTCTTCCGACATATGATATTCTGGCTTGTCTTTGCCAATTTCGGCGATGTGTTCTTTTCGTTGGAGGAGAGGTAATTTCTTCATCATTTCTTCGTAATCTTTTCGTATAAATTCCTTTTCTAAAGCTCGCTTTCCTCTGATTTGCGCTTCCTTGTCTCGTTGCTTCACTTTATTACACCATTCGTCTTCTGATACTATATTTGGTAAGGCTTCAATGCTATCTACTGTAATTTTTTCTACTTGTGAAGTTGAAGGTAAGTTGCTGTGAAATCGATTGGGGAAATCATAATGAGAAACTTTCGGGACTGTTACTGCAGACATTTTTGATGCAGTTGGCTGCCTTGAAGCAGCTTCATTTAACTTGACTCCAGGTTTGGAAGGTATTTCTGCAGATGCCACCTTGGGAGCTTGTGATATATGACGGGCTTCTTGCGAATCTTTATGACCCAACAATTCATTGTCTGTTTGGATAGAAATAGATCTAATGGGCACATTTTTCGAATATTTAGCGCATGGACATGATACTTCATACTTTGGACACACACATTTGTAATTATCTAAATCAAATTGTTCTTTCGGTGGTATATGTGGAGAATCGTGAGGATGTGTTTTTAGCGGCTTGTCATTATTGCTCTGCCCCACTATATCACAAAAGTCCAATTGGGAAGCTAAACGTTCTCGATGCTTTATGTGTTCAGATATTCTCGTATCAAAGGGAACTTGAGCATACTTTTTTCTGAAGTCATCAATCCGGTCCCTCCTTTCTTCAATAGATTTTACATAATTAAATTTTTCGCCATGTTGTGATGGTTCAGAAGTGTTGTGAGATTCGCGCGGTAAACAAAAATCCCTTCCTGTATCTGAAGACTTGGAATCTGAAAAAAAAAACTACCATAATCAAACAAAATTTTCGCTAACATCAATATTTAAAGCTATATTCAAAAATATTGTGTGACAGCATTAAGCATTATTTTTGTTTTTATTGTGCATACCAAATCTACCATTCTAACGTGCTATTTCAATGAACAATCGAATCAGTTTATATACTTTAATTTAATAAATTCCTACAGTTATATTCAGCGCGTTTTGTGACAATCTCACGGCCTATATGGTCTGAAAAAGGGTAACTTTTTATGTGTTTCTTCGGCGTGAACTGCAACAGTAACATTCAGCTCGAGAAAAAAGTCAGAATCTTCTCAACTTGCCAAAAACGTTATAAAAGTTCAAAGTTAGTAGTCGAAAGTTCTGTGTTCTTTAAAAAAAATCTACATTACGTTGCTTCAAACGTTAAAGCAATACCGAAACCAGAATTCTCACGTCAGAAAAGGAAGGTACACTAATTTGGAACTTAATATTTTAACCCCTTTAGAAACTGTAATTTTTTTCATCATTTTTATTTTGATTCATATGATCACCACAAACTGCACAAATAAATAATTTTAAAAACGTATAAAGATTCATTAAAATTTTAAAAAAGCAGAAATTATTTTATTCTATGATTATCAATTTTTCTTTATTATTCTGGCTTAATACACAATACAAATGAGAGCATTTTTTTTGGCATTTTTGCATTTTTGCACAGATTTCAGTATGTTGAAATTTAAAATAGAGGACAGGTCGTTTGACAAATAGGTTCCAAGTTTTCTAATACACAACAATTTTAGGCTGTTCAATTTGTGAAATAAAAGAATATATTGACTGGAACCGCTTTAATTCAAACCATGTGATACAAACTAGTGCGTGAAGTGTTTTTTTTGCAGTTTGTTGACTGGCGATTCTTAGGCATTTTATGAAAAACGTAACTGGTCTTTTTCAATATACAGAGTGTCCCAATAATAAAAAAATAAAGTGACAAAATGGCCCGGCCCATAAATGAGTAAGAAAGTAGAGTTATCTTTTTTCTTATGGAACCGTCTATAAATTTCTTCATATTTGAATTCTGCTTCTTTTGAAAAATGTTCATGTAAAATTATGATTTTTGTTCCAAATAATACTGAAACTATAATTTAACTGCTTAAGTTGATACAGTTAGTCAGAGCTATACAGAGTGTCTCAAATATTGGTGAAAATTATCTTAGTTTTTTTACATGCAATGCACATGTTTTTTTTTTTTTTTTTCGAGACAGAACAACGCGGTTATATTGCGTTTACACTTTATCAGGAGTTACGAAAGAAATAGGTCCTAAACTGTATAATAAACACCCAATTGAGTTTAAAGCGTTAAACCGTAGGCAATTTAAAGAAACAGTAAAAAAAATCCCTTCATGCAAAAACCTATTACTTTTTATGAATATTTGCAGGACTATGACTTTGTTGAGTGGTGTGATATACACCGTGTGTCAAATAAAATGATCCACTATACGATGTGGAAACCCACAGAAGATATAAAAAAAAAGTTTCGTACAAAAGTTTCTTGTACTCTCCTGAAGATTTAAAATATTATAATTTTGTTGATACAAGGTGTCCCAAAAGTGTCCCCCCGACATCAACTGTTATTTTAAATTGAACACCATCTATATTTCGAAATTTTTTGCATCCTTGGTTAAAATAAAGGTCACGTTCTTAAGAACTTCTTATTCGAACTTTGCATAGTTTCGGCAGAACTTGAGGTTATGTGTTTTTTTTTCATATTTTGATTGCCTCATATAAAATTGTGTTGTGACGCTGCTGATCCAGGTATTGCAACGAAAACTTAGCAACAGACTAAGGAGATGATGCACCACTCAATCAGTTTGATATTATACAGGGTGTCCCAAATAGATGGTGTCGTTTTGGCGAATTCAACTAACAAAATCTCAAGTTTCCCAAAAGGAACACCCCATATTTCTATTCAGATATCAATTCCATTACAAAAACTAAGGTAACTTTGTAATTTATCTTATATTAATATTAATTAAAATTTGAGGTTTAAGATGGCATCCGTATAAATTTATTTATTTTTCAAATAGCAAATACATGATACTACTTCTTTTAACGACATAATACTCCAGATATAAGAATAAAATCTATTGCTAACAATACAGGGTGTCCATTAATACGTGGAAATTTTGAAATAAAAAAAAACGACTCTATACTACACACTTCAACAGATTTAATAAAACTTCATAATTCATGTTTAAAAAAACATTTAATAGTTAATTATCTAGTTTGATTGAAAATGCATAATAACAAAAACAAATAATTAAAGTTTATAGGTTAGCCAAAAAACTATAACTTATTTAAAATACAAATAAAATATATACTAACAAAAAACTTGACAACTATAAACTTTTTGAATAGCAATATGAAAAACAGCAAAAACAAACAACAGAAATGACAAAGTTTGTTTATACATGGATGCTTAAAAAAAAAGATTGTTCTATTTAAAATCAAGATGATGTCTGGGGGACACTTTTGGCACACCCCATATCAACAAAATTATATTATTTTAAATCTTCAGGAGAGTCCACGAAACTTTTGTATGAAACTTTTTTCGTATCTCCTATGGGTTTCCAGAACGTATAGTGGTGTACATATATACTGCTCACTATCTTTTCAACACATGTATAGATGTTTTTATTTTTAAATAAATTATTCTATTCTGTTCTAATCTATTATAAATAAGTCCTATACCTATCTGTCGTAGTTTTAAAAAAAGATGACATCTGCCACTGAGGAAAATGAAAGAGATATATAAGTGTCGAAGTGTATAAAAATAGGCAAAAATTATTCTGTTTGTACTTAGATGCTATAAAAATCATGTTAAATTTAACTCAAGAAACGTCAATCCATTAAAAATTTAAACACATGCCATTCAGATAGCAGTCTGATCCTAGCTCTTAGAAATTTCAGAGTTTTCCACTAAGGAGTTGACGCTTGCTTGCCTGCAGTCCTACATATTATTTTACCTACATATTTTTTATTTACTTTAAAAAGTATGGATTAGTCGTGCACTCATTAAGACAAAGAAAATAGGCATATAATTAATTTTTTATATCAATTGAACAAAGTATTTAAAACCTTCTGATTAATGTAAACAAACTGTTTCTCACCTTTGCTGCTAGACTCGCATTCAGGATATTCTAAATTTTCTTCCGAACTATTTGAAACACCCTGATCAGAGGTGTTGCCTAATTCAGAATCTGTAAGTTCTGGAACCTTCACTGTTTTCTCTTCTGGTATATGTTTACTAATTGGCTTTTTGTACTTCGTTATATTAGAAATCAATGCTGCCCTTGTGTTTTCAATATCTCTGACAATTTTTTTCTGATGGATAGGTAGGGCTTTTTTAAAATTAACCTCATTTTTTTCCACCTGCAGTTTACCTGCGGCCACTCTTCCTCTTTCTTTAATAAGTTGGGCTGCCTCTTCCTTCTTCTGATTCAAAATTTCCTCCTCATTTTCAACATTATGAGCCTCTGTATGTGCCAAGCCAATTTCATCTAAAGCTTCTTGGTACTGGTTTTGCAATTCTAATAATTTTCGATTTTGCCAATTTTTGAGCTTCTCTTTACCTTCTTGTTGTATACGAACCATTTGCTTGTTTTTTTCCCTACGCACTTTGTTGCGAACATTTTCTGCCAAATCCTTTGATTGTTGCCTTACTTGCTCCAGTCTCATTAATCTTCTCTTATCGAATTCCTGTTTTGAGGTATAATGGTCATAATTCATCATCTTGCCCCTACTGATACTAACTGGATTTCCATTCACAGTTACATTAATAGACATTTTCAGCAAACAGGCTTATAAACATAACACTGAAATAATTTGGTGACGAAGACAAGAAACAATTTTTAGAACGAAATGTTTTAAATCTAACTAACGCCAACTCACTTTAATCATAGCTTTGAATTATTGAATTAATTCCCAATTAAGTACAATGTAAACAGAAATAATCACAAATGTTGACAGTCTTTCTTCTTCTTTTTTTTTTGTTCGTATCACATGCAGTTGGGCATTTTAACAGAGCCAGAGATTATCATTGTTAGAAACGAAAACACGGCCGATAACTGCTTGAAGTTAACTTCAGTTCTAATTTTTAGAAGTTACATTTTCTCCTAAAACATAGAGAAAAGTTCATTTTCATTAGTTTGCTCTCTAGGTAATGGTTAAGAGCGGCAATAGGATCGGCATATCATACCCGCCAGTTTACTGATAGTCTATGCTTAGGCAGTGACGTCAACTGGCCAATAAAACATTTCATATTGTGGAGATGTACTCGGTTTTTTTATTAGGCTGTGCTTACATCACAGCCATTAGGAAAGCATGTCATTGAAACCTGTAGGTAATTCCTTCCAAGGGCATGTAATTTCAGCCGAAACACGGTTTATTGATGAAATTTTGTATTTCTTTTCCATAGAAAGTAGAGAAGGAACAAGAACTAATAATAGTTTTCTTGCAATGTATAAAAGATATAATAAATCTCTTCTACATTGTAAGTAATTCAGCCGTTCTTGTTCCTTCTCTACTTTCTATTCTATTCTATTTTTATTATATAAATAATAGTCAGCTTGAAGTCAGAGGTCGTGTGCCCATTGCTGCCGCCGAAATTTAGCTGGTTTAGCGCAGTTCTTCAGTATTGAAACATCTGTACTAAAATCGCAGTTGAAAAACAAATAAAACACTCTTTCAAGATAATATAGATACGTTTTAATATAATAAATTTGATAAATTTCGTTCAAAATTCATTTTACGATACATGGTTATATTATGGTTTATATGCTAAAATGTATTATTCTTAAAATGTAAGTCATTAATTAAAGTAGATTAAATGTACATATAAATGATTTTTTCTCTCTAAAATACGTATCGGTCCTATTTTCTACTATAATGTGAAACTTAACAATAAAAATTAACACTACAATAATACAATATGTATATGAATACTCTGAAAAATAAATAATATAACGAAAATTGCATATTTTGGCATTACTCAAAACCTGATTATGTTATATTCATTTGAATAAAAATAAGATTCTAATATCAAGATCATAATCGTTTTATAACTGCGTTTCTTAAAAAAATAGAATATGAGAAAGTGTTTAAAAAATACAAATGAGCTTAAGATACCTACTGCCTGATTCTTGTCTCAAAACAGTAAGTAGGTAGTAAAAGTATTAACCTGCAGCTTAAAACTTGCTTTTGTGGATGAAACTAGACAGACTATTTGCACTAAATACATAACTAAATAAAAGTCTTATTTCATTTAGTCTCAAAACAAAAACATTGTTATAATAAACTTCAATTTTCTAAATTAACAAACTAAAACTTTGACATGTATTTACACCATAAAAAAATGTTTGTTGACCATTTATATGTTAAGTTCGTTTGGATTAGTCCACTTTCAATACAGCCTAGCATAGTAAAGTTTTCAAAAACAATGAAAGACGAGAGGCATAGGAAATGAAATACATTGAATGCATTATATATACAAGTCCTAGGATAAAGACTAAGATGATTACTTTAAATTCCCTTTTTAACTCGGTTCCTGAAAACTGAAATACACGAAAATAAAAATACAATTGTTTATTTTCATTTTTATTATGAAAATAAAATCTTGGTTGGGTAATATAGAGTGTGAAAAATTAAGAATTTTAGAATTGGATGTACCCGCATTTTAGTTAATAGTTGTTTCGTTTGTCATGATACAAAGACAATTTAGAAACTGACAGCTGCTAAAAATTTCCGAATGTGCTACTAATACCTTATTTGCATAACTCCACTACTAAATTTTGTGAAGATGGGGTAAATTTGTCAAATATTAACAAAATATAAACCTTACATCTATTCTTATCCAAATTTTAAGATTAAAAATGTGCTTTTCAGGTTACTCAATTTTCGAAATGGGTATTTTTAATTTCGCGATGCCCAATTTTTCATTTTCTCCATACTCATTTAAAGGACTATGGAATGATTAGGATTTTTAACACAAGAAAATCAAAATACTTAACGCATAATTGGCGAATACCGTTTTTGTTATCTGAATACTGACTTACGTAGATATTACTTGAACAGATTTTTGTTACCAACAGATCATCCCTAAACCTAAGTTTCGCCGTATCACGGCTCATCAGTAGGGCTAGACCTTGCAAAATGAAAACTGAGTTACCTTATTTCGATAGTACCCTATTAGAAAGTTCGTATATGTCGTTTAAGGGCAGTTGAATTTCTTAACAATTAGGTATATTATTTCACTATACATCGAAAGCCATAGTTATTGTTACGTAAATGGCAGTTATAACTAGCATACTCTCCGAACATTTATTTTGAAAAAAACTACTGAATGCCACTCTTTCGATTTTTTTGAAAAATCATTACCTAATTAGTTTAACCACTATTAATTTGGTCTATGCGGGGCATGGGGGGGGGGGATATTTTTTCTTATTGCCTGCTCAGAAAAAAAAACTATGTTGCATAGTTGTGATCTTGTGGAGTTGTTCGTGGATTTATTCTGAGATTTATTCATGACTTTGCCTCGACTCTAGATATAATGTTATCTATCTGCTGTATGCTTTTTTTTCTGATAAATTGGTTAAGGCTTTCGCGGCCCGTTGATGAGCTATTATCTTGATTCGGGTTTAAAGGCCGTCGTCGGTTGGAATTACTTCCTAACGTTTCGCTAGCACGAGTGGCGAGCTTCTTCAGAGGTCCTTCCATCTCCGATGTTGGACGTAGTCTACGTCCAACATCGGAGATGGAAGGACCTCTGAAGAAGCTCGCCACTCGTGCTAGCGAAACGTTAGGAAGTAATTCCAACCGACGACGGCCTTTAAACCCGAATCAAGATAATAGCTTTTTTTTCTGTTTTAATAAATTGAAAATAATCTGACCAAAAACTATTGATCGATTCTCTATATCGTATTTACGTAAAACTGTACCGTAAAACTTGACTTGATGCATTAATGCATAAATACACGAAGAACTTCACAAAGCAATTTGAGAACATAAGTTAATGTTTTAGAATACTCAAAGTTGCCCTTGAGGCGGGTCCGAAAAAAAGTTTTACATGTGTAAGACAGGATTAAGATGTGAATATATACGTTTACAACAAAGATATATGGTAACGCAAAGTTTTCACTTATCAGAGATCGTCTGTTAATATATTTATTTTGTCGATTTCTTTCGTGTAGATAAATAGGAGAAGAACTCAACATTTATATAAAATAATTTCATACATTTTGCAACAATAACTACAACATTTACATGACTAACAAACAAACACACCACAATAATAAACACCATAAAAATAGCTACATTAATACAAAATGATTGCTTTTATATAAAAATTCTTGTCCAGTCAGTTTATACTCAGAGCAGCCAAGAGTTTTTTTAAATTAATCACTTAATACAAGTAAAAATAAATATCATACAAACCTATTAAGCTTTGTCCGATGAAATGTAATTTCAGTATAATTCAAGCTGGCAAAAAAAATTCAATTTTGTTCCAAAAAATACTCGATTATTTCCAAAAATTTGTCTGAAATGATCCAGAACTGTGTGTTTTAGTCTCATATTTGAAACCCGTGTTAGTCGATCAGGCCTTAGCGATTAAAATTTTCGTCCGTTTTCTCAAAGTATCATATAGAGTACCACAAATGATTGTTTTATTTACCAGCGTTGCTGTTTTGTGAGGTACAGTAAATGTCAAAACTGTGTAAAATCACCAGCGCAAGTATAAGAGTATCCTGGTGACTCCTAAGACTATGAACACGTGGATATCACATGATATACTCTTACACATGTCATATGGTAAATTTTATCAATACCTAATCGAAAATTGTAATGTAATGCCGTTAACTCCTGGCCAAAATAATCTGAGTTTCACAACACAGGCTAGCTCAATTATTCTCGGTTTACAAAATCGTGATTGCGACTCAAAAGTTTATTGTACTTTAGCAAAGTGATTGAGATCAGAGGCAGTCGATTCAGAACAACCCCGTAATTTTCAAGAACACATAAAGCACTTCCGAGTGTCTATGGACGCATGACCCTAAGCTGAAGTCAGTCTCCGAAACGGGAGCACGCCTTCTTCCATTTGCACTGCGTACACCATTGTTCCCTGTGATCCATTCCGTATATTTTGCGACACTTTTTGTTCTCCCCGCGTACCCGGCGAGGTGATATCGGCATTTTAGGACTGTGGGGTCTTGGCGAAAGCTTCAGGAGTTTGTGTGGGGACTGCGGGATGGACATTGGACCGAATGCCAGATTTTGCCTCATAGTTCCAACCAACTGTCTTTGGTAATCGGGGTCTTCGTGAGGTGGACGGGCCATATCTCTGTGAGATAGTGTCGGTGGAGGACTGGTAAGTCCCAGCTCGATTTCGGTGTAATAGAATTCTTCTTCTCTTGGGGAAACACTGCAATAAATAATAAAACGCGAATTGAAAAACGCAACCGGCAAAGTATAAAGTCACCGTTTAAATTTGAAAACATTAACTAACGGATTAACAATTTAGATTGTCCACGGCCATTGCCAAATTTATCTAGCTGCAAATGTTTACGCGGCTCATTAAAGAACCAAGGCTTTTGTCGTTAACATTAACCTTGTATTTTTTAGCGTGGTTGTACTTCGCCGATATTTTTAGAACATTTGGGACAAATAATATTTAAAAAATGCTGGATGATTCTGTAATATAACCAATAACTTTCGATCTTGACTTTTTTTCGAATACTAAAAACTCCACATTTGCAATTTTGTTATCTAAACAATTCAGTTCGATATTCTTATTAATTAAAAAAAATCGCTAACATGGATTTTATAGCATTGGTATAAAGCATTGTAAACTTTTCGCTTATGGTTGAAAAGCGAACATCGGCAAAATACAAGCTTTCTCTAAACTTCCTTATTGGAGTCTATAGTCTGACCATCACTTTTTTTCTCAATTTTTCCACAACAAATCATGTTGCATGCATCTCGAAAATTTACTAATACTCTTTTTTTACCTGATGCAAGAAAAAGCATGAACCACAAAAAAAAAACATTAAAAAGTCAGTTCGTCCTAAAAATAATGCATGCAACGTGCATTTACGCAATTTATCAAACTTGTGTTTACTCGGAACCGATCCTCAATTCACCAAATTCTGACCCGGATAATGCACGAAAATAGTTACGATTTCGTTTGCATACGCCAGACTGTCTAACCTAGATTTATTTGGCATCACACTGTATGGTTTTTAAGCGTTATGCAATATCATCCGCACATATAGTTTAGCCTTGGCGTTTGTTTATTTATTTTAAGCCGACCATGGGCGTGCAACAAATCCGAATTGACGGTATAAGGCTCGTTTTAAAATTACACAAATTTTTTAAATACTTAATTCTACATTGAAATATTTCATATTTCTACTTTGCTTACAGATGGTAAAATGTATTTTGGGCGTATATTCGCCTTACCTACATCAGTGCAAAATTAAATCTTAAAATTCATCTGTACGTCAATGTTTTTCGCTGGACCGTATACTGAAATTTGTTTATAAAGGTTTGCATATAAATACACATTTCTTTTGTATACACTGGGTATCCCACTTATTTCGATAGTAAACTATTTTGACACGTGCATTTAAGACGATTCTCATTTTTTAGCAACTAAGTACTTCTTATTTCCTTATTATTCTTTTGGAATTGTACTTTTTAATAGCAATAATTACTAAGTACCAGAATTATTTGCTCCCTGATTGAAATAAATAGGTAGCTGCCAATGTAATGCATTGAAGGGCGTCAAATTTATTTCTCACTCACACCTCTATTGTTTCTTACAGTCTGTTAAGGATATGAAGCTGGTTTATGTACATGAAGGCAATACCAATTAGCGCTGTAATAACGTCGCTGTATTCTTTCTAATAAAACAGCAAAATATATAACTAAAATACGTGTGGATGTTTTCAGGAAAAAATAAAATTGTGTCACCTTATACCTACGTACCACGCGAGGATGACACGCGCGGGCAAAAATAAACTTAAAATGAAAACAAAAACGTTATGACGTCAAATCTGAGAAACGCAATACAAGCTTAAATCGTATTGTTTAGTAATTTAATTTTGGGCACCGAATGACGCGGACTCATTGAAAGAAGAAGAAGAAGAAGAAGAGTAATTTAGTTTTAGTCACGATCGAACACTGGAAGTAAATAGTTTAGTTTTCCTTCCAATTTATCGGGCTTCTAAGTAAAGGCGGATGCTCCGGCACTTACAAATTTTAGTGGATTACTGATGTTATTTTTTTGTTACTCTAATCAAGTAAAACGTGCATTTAAATAATATATAACCTTCTTGAAAATCCTTGCAATAAAGGGGAACGAATTTCAAGTTCAAGTTGCGTTACTGCCAAAACAAAACTATTAACGTAATTGACTTTATTTTTTTATTTAAGAAAATAAGGTTCCGTGCCACCGTCCTGAAGTTCAGTTAGAACTCAATTTTCCAATACCACATGATATTGTAACAAGCCACATCTGAAGCAATTCCCCATTGCCATTAACAATTCATTTTTATGACTTTTCCTCAAACAATAAGCAAACTATCAGTTGTAAACTGTACACAGAAAATGGGAACACATCACGGTACAGTACACTCAATAGTATATTCTAAAAATGTAGAAATTATATATGGCATATTTGTTTTCTATGAATTTTGTGTTTTTGAGAGATATTTTGAGATTTGTGAAGAAAGAACCTTATTCAATTACATTAGAAGCGTGTGACCAACTTATTAGGAGTGTGTCCTTAAAAGCAATGTCTTTTGTCACTGTCAGAGTCATAGTCACTTTGTAATCATATCCCGATGTTTTTAAACTTTTGTAGTTTACTGTGAACTTTGTTCTGCTTTGGTTTGTCAATTCACGTACCTACATTATGTAGGCTACATGATGATGCTACTGTACTCTTGACTAATAAATAATTCTACCAATGCTGTAAACTACACGTGAACAGTTGGTTCTCTTTTTAATTGCATTATATCTTTTTTTTTTAGCGATTCTGTCCTCAATTTTCTGCGAAATTCCTAACTCAACAGATCCTATCTACAAAATAAAGTTAAAAAAATGATCTATATAAAAACTTTTGCTTTTATATTTATTACTCGCAGCATATAAGCAGGTTTATATAGAAAAAGTATTTTGCCAAATGCCGCGAAATTACTTCGCAAATTTGGCTCCATTGTGTTTGTACTTGCTACACCTACGTTTTAGCAAACAATCGATTTTTATTTTTCCAGGTTAAGGTTATAGATCGCGACAAATAGTGCAAATAAAGCCGAATTGTATTTGGGACGTGCGAACAAAGTAATGAATATTGTAGCTCGATTTCTGTAGCTTACGGTACTAAGCGTGAAACGGAAAGTAGAGTAATGTAACGGACTTGAGTGTAACGGTTTCGAGCAAAAGCGGTCGGTAGTTAATATAAAGAATGAGAAAAAATAATAATTTATATCAACATCAAAGTTGCTGATAAATGTGAACAATGCAAGAGCAGAAAAAGTAAATACAATTTTTATAATTCCAATTTAATTATACTTGAAAGGTGTAACTGGAAATGTAGCAAGTATATTTCTAGAGAAACAGGTATAAATCTATGAGTTGCTTTTACTGTTATAAGATAAATAGATATTGGAGAAATAAATCACAAAGATGTTGACCTTATGGAATTAGGAACGAGCATACATTAGATAATATGTTTGTAGCTATGATGTCGGTAGAGAACAGAATGGAATGACCCCAAAAAAATTTACCTGCACTTTGCTTCATTTTCATTCGACATAGCTTTTTCCATACAATCGTTTTTCTCTGAACATTTAACGCATATTCAGATCAAGTCAGATTTATTAATCTATTTTTTGTCAATGGAAAACAGCAGTAGGTTAACAAGAGTGTGTTATTTGTTCTTCATTTTCCCTAATGCTAAACTAGTTTCAAACGCATTTGTTTATATCAATCATTCTTATAAGCATTTCCACTTGACACATAAAAAGTTCTTGAGCTGTAACAATCTTGTCTTGCTTTTTTTGTAGGAAGCTTGAATACGCAACAACATAGACGGATGCAAATTTATTGATTTTAAATTTTGCGTTAAGATTTGACGCTTTCGCAAACAAATTTGACGAGTTTCTTTCTTCCCGTAATGTCAGGAATGCGCAGGTTTAACTTTCGATTAAAGAAATTGAAATTATACACCAAGGCAGGTAAATAACCTCCCCCGTTCCAGACCAACCATAACGCAGGGTGTCAGGTAGAAGAGATTTTGTTTACGTTTTTTCGGGACCGTCTGGTCTGGAGGGCACAGTCCGAATAATTCGAGGCGGTGTTGCCATATATATTGAACTGATGGTTCCAATTTTTAGCGATGATTATACACATGTGAACTGATTTTTTTAATTAAAAACTTACTTGTGTTCGGTCCTAACATGGCTTTCTATATCTTCACAGGTGTTGGAAGACTTGGTGCAACCTCGAAATGTGCACTGGAAAACAACGCGGGTGATATTCTGAAACAAACAGGACGAGTTTAGTTACATTTAGCAAATGACTTAATACGTATCTACGTAGATCAATGTCAGTCAGCATAAAGAAACATCGAGTGCACTATTGGCAAAAATATGTCGGAAGAGAATGTAAAAGTAAAACGACGTTATTTTTTTATGAATGCCCTATTGTACGCTTTGATATCCGCTCCAAATTTCTACAAAATATGTGAAACAAAAGCAATACATAAGGAGATATCTAAAGGTGCCAATCAAATATAAATACCACCTTTCGTACAATTTGCTGTCCTTAATTGAGAAGCAAAGCGCAATACAATGTAATGTGTGCGGCTAAACTTCCTGCCTATTTGCGTTTTAAGAACAGGCAGTTGTTGAGAATGAAGGTCTGAATAATTATTATAAATAAATAGCAAGCTTAATATTACCGGGGTATTAAAGAAGTATATGTGTACATAAATAAATAGGAACGACCGCTAATTTTCAGAGTTATCCTAAAAAATATGATCGATCATTACAAAAGGTGATGTTTACAGCGAAACAGTTAGACCCAAAACATTAAATAATTTTAGTCACCAGCATAGTGTAAAACTAACTAAATGTTTGTGTTTGCATTGGAAACGTACCATAAAGACCCTTGAACCTGCGATAGATAAAATCTCAAAGTTAAATGAACTATCAATTAATTTAAGGAACTAAACTTTTAGAAAGGTTCTTTGAAATAAAATAAAATAAAATGTTTTTTTTAGTCGCTCAGCAAATTTTAACTTGTAAAAATTCTTCTTCCAGAATTTGTGATGGAACACAATGTCTTAGCCCCTTTTTGTTATTGATATTAAAACTACCTAATCTGTTAACGCAACTGTAACTATATCTTTTTCCAATACAAAATACTAACAGACGGTTGCTTGAGAGAAGGGAAGATTATTTCCAAAGAAAGAGAATCTAATCTAATATTTGATGTTGAAATGCATGGATATAATTATCAAATCAACTCTCAAATTTAATTGACATTTTGTTTTATTCAAGCATTAAATTGAACATTGTAAAACGGCCCCGTGTCGGCTTTGCTTCAAAATTTATGAAGCAGGATAGTGTGCAACGATCAAATTATTATGGACGGGAAATCTAACAGGCCAAGGACAAAGAATCCGCTCGATTTTGAGCCTTAAAGACCAGCGCTTTTGCAGCTTTGCAGCCAATGCTCCACAACGCGATGAACACTGTTGCCGTGTGGTCGTGTTTGAAATTGTTTGCTTTGAAAAACAATTGGCATGCAAATACTTCGTTCGTCATTTACATAAATTAAGCAACCTGTTACATGGAACCAGATATTGATTTGACTGGTTCTATTAACCTCATAATGCTCATAACAAACTTTTCTCCTTTACTTTCGATGCTCGATTCAGATACATATATCTGTTCTGTTCGAAAACTGATCATGACAACGGCGGCAGGCCTGCTGAATTATTGTCAACTCGCTTCACGCCAAGCAGTTCCTGTTTTTGCACGCAAGAAAATCGTGGTTAAATCTTGGCAACGTTGTCTCTGCACGTGGCTTTGTCTATAAACATATCGACCCACCCGGCCATGTTGGGACATCAGGCTTCAATCCGGCAATAGTAGACGGAGATAGCATCAATAACAACGTATTCTGCTCTCGCTCTAGCGCGACGGTTCTTTGTTTGAATTTTGACTCTTTTATCACTATGTCAATTTAGCGGGATAATGGCGTAAATGAATGGGTTTTGTTTGCACTTCATTTCTTTCGCAGTGCCTTGGTCTTTGTCCTGCCTTTAAAGATTTAGCGGAAAGGAATTGGGCTGGTCATTTCGTCCTCCGTTTTATTCGCATTTGAAATTAACTGAAATTGCAGAGTATTTTTACTATTATGACCTACCTAAATGTGCTTTGAGCATTTGGTTTGACAAACATTTCATAATTCGACTTCCGTTAACACATTAATGTTTAAATTAAGGATATTTGCCATTATTAGGAATGCATATTTTATGCGTCTGTGGCTAACTTTTAATTTCGAAGATAAAACGATACAATCTGAATAGCTTCAGCTCAGTTTAATCTTGAAGTTTCTAGGTCTCACAAATTTTTTTATGTATCTAAGATTTTCTGCAAAATATTTGCGGAAAATTTCTAACAAAGATGCCTTATCTTTTTCATCACTCCCAACTGACTAAGTTGCTAAATTGCCGTATTTTTTTTTGGAAACTTGATTAATTTTTATAAGAAGGCAACAACCTCTGAAATCCGAACATAATTGGCAACGCCGAGTTAAATAATTACTGTTGTCACAGAACAGTGTGTGCCCTGTGCCATTGCTGTTTTCATTTTTGGTGTCAATATCTCTGTACCGTACTCACAAACGTGTATATATTTGACTTTAACAAACTGGAAAATAAACTTACATAAATATTTACATGTGAATTCCTACATTTTTAGGTACACTTAAATAGCTACGAAGGATGTTTGGGAAATAAGTTTTGGTGTACAAGAATTACGGGAAATATAATAACGCAATTCAACCAAAAGTTGAATTTTACTATAACAAGTATAAGAAATACTCCTTGCCAAGTACTGTTTGTGGGAGTGCTTCTTGAACATATTTTCGCTTAGATGTTTCATGCGTGATATCTAGCCCCTCAAAGTTATTTCAATGGAGGTTAAACCTATGAGTTTATGAAAACTAACGCTTCGCACCGATTTACAAAAAAAATACAAAGAAATTGCATCGTATCTACAGAATTATACAGACGCCGACGTGGGTGTTGCAATTCTGCACTGCTTTTCCAGACCTTGCCTGAAAATGTAATAAGATTTCGACATATTTTGTGAAAATACTGCGGAAAAATGCGGCATTCAAACTGCGGCGATCTGTCAGCAGCCATATCGTTTGTTGAAGGCCACAAGGTCTTATGGGTCCTACGTCAAAATTTGTCATTAGAGTTGCCACTGGTTAAAAACGAAATTTTAAACCTCGCGCATGCGCACGTTGAATAGACCATCTCAAACAAAAATTACATAGTTATGAGTTTCTATACTGTCAGCATACGCAGGGCCTCTATATGTATACTAGCCATATGGGCGTAACCCACTAAATTCTTATCGCTAAATACGACTTATAAACAACGTCAACGTTGACCGGTTTTGGCCTCTTCCTCTGGTCAAAATGACCCGGGAACATTTTATTACTGCGTAGTAAACGCCTCCTCGGCGGGCATTCGCCCTCATGGATATATTAAACAGCTAGAAAATAAATTAAAAACGGTCGAGCAGGTCGTGTATCGTAGGTATGCGAAGATCTCATTTTCCATTTTAATGCAATCAAGTTTTAATAACTTCAACAATAAGTAACCGCGGTTCGTGGATCGGGCGGGTGCATTGCTCGGGTCAATGTCCGTCCTTCAGCTTATGGCACGCAGATAATTAGCGGGACCGACAGGTATACATATTTAGATTTAGTTTTCTTACGACCCCGGTAAAGACGGCTCATTTGCATTGCATTGTCTTATGCAACTTCATGTAAAACTAGCTTGACGATTATTGGGGTTTTAAGAACTCATAAAATCCCATCATCAACTAATGACCACGAAACGCAAATACGGAGAAAAGCACAATATACAGGACGGCTCACGGGTGCAAGGACCAACAGATTCACTTAAAAGGTGCGTATTAGGCGGAACATCGACCAAAATATTTTAAGCACTGAGTATTGCCGCTTCTACGTGAACACGACAATGCCCTCCAGACTTTAAATGGCATCCCCTATATATTATTATTATTATACGTTCAGGTTTTCCAATATATGTTTACCCAAAAAAATCATTTTTGCAACTTAAATTTTGTTTGGTTTTTATTGTGACATAATTTAAGAAACTTCCCTTGTAATTTTCTACCGTGTTTACTTAAAAGAGTTAGAATTCATAGTTAAAAATTCCCCTGTAATAAATTACTTTTTTTAGCTTCAGCAACATATTTGAGAGCAATAAATAACTTAGGCTTATATATTGATGTGAACAATTTCGAAGAAATTCTCCAAATACCTTATATATTATTACTTCTAATTATCTACCCTGTAATATGGTATTTATTAAATAGTTGTCCAAACTTTAGAATAGTATCTGTTCCGCAAAACCATAGGGGTGGGTGGTTGGTTCCCTTTAGACAATTTGTGGTTTTGAATTAAAACAAATTGAGATACAAGTCCCACATAATAGAAATATATTTTTTACATTTACACTGATAAAGCAGTTCTGTATATAAATAATATGACATTTATATGTATGATTCAAATCATTTATATTTTTTATGAACCATTGATCGTTCTAATATTTCTTATTTCTTTTTTTACGTTTTTAAACATTTTTACTTTTAGAAAAATTTCATGGAAGTAATCAAAGCATGCTAGAATAAAAAACAATGTAATAATATGTCATGTTAAAAAACGAATATGCATTATTTTTAAACATTTTTACACATTGTGTTATTTACTTGAAGCCTAAAATTAGAGTGAAGTATATTGGTTTTTGATTCGTGATAGTGCCGATAAAATGCCATTGCAATTATAAATATTTGGTGAAAGAAGGTTGTGCTTGGTTAATCAAATAATTGACCCTTGTTACCTGTAACTGCTGTTTAGGAAGTGAGTGTTAATCCCAATAATAAAAAAAGAGTTCTTTAAAATCAATTATTGTATATGGATTATATAAATTTAATAAAACAATTTCGCTTTATTTAAAAAAAATCATTATTTCCGTAGCACCTTGGCAACAAGGACAATTTCTGGTTGATGACGTGCCAGGGATTTTGTTTTGGATGACGCATATCTACATATTGAGGAAATAGTGGAAGAACTATCATTTACGAAAACAGGTTTTTGAGAAAAGGAGAAGGAACTAAAACATTACCACTAACTTTATTCTCAATCGAATTTTTATAACTTCCTAAAAAATGGTAACAATGCACCTTATCCCGATTAGTCTATTTGGAAG